GAGAGGGAGGAGGAGAAGAAGGAGGTGGAGGATGAGGAGGAGGAGGAGGCGGAGGAGGAGAACAACTGTGATAAAATCTAACAACCCTCACCTGGCAGGTGGGGAAAAATTGATGCTGTTTATTCTTTTTTGGTCCACACCGATGTTTGTCCCACAGTTTACCAAGTTTTTTCAAGCTAGCAAGTCTTTCTACTGATGGGAAACGCATGGCTAGGCAGAACCATTGGCTCAAACCCCACCGCTTGAAGAACTTCAAGGAGCAGCGATGTGCACATCTGGCATTTTCTTGCCCAGTCCCTTGAACCAGAAGAACTGTTCATGCGACTTTTCATTCCCTTTTCTATCAAATCACTGATCCCTAAACAATCAACTGGAATTTGATTCCCCAATATCATCTCAACTTACTTTAAAGATATTAAAGTTGAGTTACTGTGTTATCCTACTTGTTTCCTGGCACCCTCATCCCTGCCAAGGTGAAACATCTTCAGATTTGCCACCTTCGTTCTTGGATGGGCAGCCTGTCCACTCAGAGCAAGCCTTGGCATCTGCCAATGCAAGTGCCCCACTTGCTGCTACTATGCGGGAGGGTTCTGGGGCTGCAGATTGCAAGAGGTTTCTGACTGTCGGACCCAAAGAAATCATGACGCATTTCGGGATTTCATTATTAATGGCTGGACTAGATCCTACTTTGACAATCTATTTGCTGATTTGGGCCTGGGGTTTACTTTCAATTTTCCAAGGCTTACATCCTCGATACATGACCCACATGACTGTGGAGTCTTTCCATGAAGTGTACACAATGTGGTGTGAGGGGGCTGCTGTGCCACAAGATGAGATTGCCAGCTCACGATGCTTCAGGGAAGTGTATGAGTCCACGTGGAAAGGGAAGGAAGCTTAAGATGCGGACTGTTTCCCAGCATGCACGGTGCGGGGTTTTACCAAAAACTGCAATGAGTTTCCTATCAGTAGAATACCTGAATACCCATGACTAATTTTAGCCCGTGGTTTGTACTTCCAGTGGCACATTTAGAACCCATAGTCTTTCCCTCCCAAGTCCCATAAAAAATAAATAGCAATTACTGCAAGTTACCCTGTCTCTCGCACTTAGCCCTGTCAGGTGCTCCATCTGTGCAGAGTTCAGCGCCCGGTGCAAGCGAGCGACCACAGAGTCGGAGCGGTCCAAGCTGGAGAGCAACCAGCGCCAGCATTTGACCAACATCCAGCAGTACCGCCTCATACAGAATAGGTTGGATGTGCTCAGTGAGACTGAAGGATCCAACCTTCTCAAAATCGACATTGACGGGTTGGACCAAAACAAGACCAGGTTTCCTCGCAACCTTGACAGTAGCAAAACACTGGCCAATGCATGGCGACCACAATTACATTGTGTAGGGGTCATTGTTTGGGGAGTCCCTAGGATATATGAAGAGATTTGGAATCTTTTTTTTCCATGTGGTTTAATTACTCTCTAGTCTCTAATGGGCACCTAAACCCACATGCCATCCTCCATAGTGAAATTTTGCTGTCCCAGGTGCTGGAAGGCTACCTGCTCTTGGAGCCCGATCTTGCCAAAGATGCCTCGGCAGAGGTGACAGTGCTGCTCAAAGCCATCGATTGGGCTGAGGAGGAGTTGGCCCGTCGAGGGAGAGCTCTTCCCGAACATCTAATCGTGGAAGCACTGGGGTTTTAAATTGGGAACACTAATTTGAAAAACCTTGTTTCAAAGTCCATGTTAACAATGACAACTTGGTCCCTTGATGTAGCATGCTATTTGAATCAAAACCTTGTCCCTGCAGACGGACAACTGTGTGAGGGAGGGGAAAAACCAGATCCTGATGAAGATGAATGCTTTGGGCATTACCATGAACAAGCCACTAGGCTTCTCAGATAATATTGAAATTGCTACCCTTCAAATGTGGCATGGTTGGTTTACTACCTCCTATGAAATCCTAGTGGCTTCATTCTTTTTCATCAGAACCGGATGGGTTTGCTACCCAGGTGGAGGAGCATCACCCACCTGTTTGGACAGGTGGGGCACACACATGGCCCCATCGACCAGAGACTGGGGACTGTCTCTGCAGCATTTGCTGCCCAAAAGGTGATTGAAACACCCCAGGATTGCAGGGACAAAACTTCAAGTTTAATAAAAGTGTTCTTGGACTCATTGGTGGATAATGGGGCTACCCATCTGGTCCCTTTGAGGACTTCGTGGAGGTGATCTTGCAGAATGTCAAACCGGCTCGTGGGAGGAAGTTGAAGGCTGAACTCCTTCCGGGTGCATTAGATTTCAAGAGCTATGTTCACCAACTTGGGGTTGAGGTGGCAGGTTTGGTGCACACTGGCTATGATGTTGGTGATGCCACCCATTGCTGGCGCTTCATTCGCCGAAGTGACACTTTATTTCTCCTTGTGTGTAACTTTTAAGGTTATTGCATTCTGAGGACCACCTTACAAGACTTGGGAAAAACCTCACATGCACACATGTGTGTACATAGTAGACACACACACATATATATATATATACATACACACATGATGTAAACACACATGAGGTGAATATGATGGCTTTATGCATCAATATTGACATGCATAAACAAATATATATATATAATATTTGTTTAACTATATATTTAAACATGTATATTTACAGTATATATGTATTGTGAAAAAGTAGTTATGTTATATATGTCTCTGTTTGCATGTCTATGTAATGAGTTAATATATATATATATATTATATATATCAAAGGTTTGACTATCCAAATCCGAGCCTAGGACCTGCCAGTCTATGATGATGCAACTGATGAATCGTGGGTGCCTGCGGAAATCTCCGGTGACACTTGGGGCAACAAAACAAAGTAATGCAATTGCGTTTACTCTTTTCCTATCTTTTAGACTCTATGATGGTCTTCAATATGTGGTGACCAATAGTGCTATCCCACAACTAGTTTATCAAATTTGGGGACCTAATGCCTGCTCAGGAGGACTACAAGCATCATCCTAGTGACTGTATCCTGCTCGTGAAACACCTTGTCAACTCTCCATCGCTTTCGCAGTCTCCAATGGTTCTCCTTCCAATGGAATTCCATAAGCTCTTGAAGAAGGGAGTTGAAGCGTTACCCAGGAAGCTGATAGCTGACCGGGCCAAGAAAGAGTTTCTTAATCGCACCTATCTCCAGCAAGAGAATGAACTACAAGCTAAATAATCACCCTGGTGTTTCCTTTAATTTCATTTATCTTCAACCGTTCCCTTCCCCAACGAATCTTTGAAGCCAAGTCACATGTGGTCAAAGAATTCCCAGCTCCATGTGCCTGAGGTTTCTGAAAACAGCTGATCTTGTGGAGAAGGAGCCCTGGTGTCTGGTTAAAGCTGCCAAGGCATTGCGTGATTGGGTGGATGCTGGGCTTATTCTTGAAAGGGGATTTGAATCCAAGTCGCTGTTGGTTGCTGTAGTGCCACAATCCTCCATCCACTATAGGCCAACTGAACCCTTTGCTTAATAGTCATGTCATCTACTTTTTTTTGACAAAACAAAAGAATTCCCTCAAGATGCCCATTACCATGTACTGTTTTGTAACTAAGGATCAAAACGAAAGGCAAGCATGGCCAGCGGTCCCAGAGCCCAAGTGGTGGTGGTCAAATGACAGTCGTCCACTTGGTGTGCACCAGTCCCCTGAAGGGAGCCTCAACCAAGAAAATGTGGCATATCTATTTTTATTTTTTCTGTTTTGATTGCTTCCTTATAGACAAGTCTTATCCTTTTTTGATCTGACCATTGTCACAAGTACCTTAAGGTGGGAAAAGTTTGCACCAGGCCCAGTGAAGAAAGTCACAATCACTCACAATCACCCTGATGCCTTGCCCAAGCCAAAGGGGCGCCCCAGAAAACGCCCAGCAGAGTCAACCATTGTCAAGCCAAAGGATGATGGTGAAATGGTTTTTGGACACCGTTCCAAAAAACGTGGCCCGGTGGTTCCACCCCCAGAAGATGGCAATGCTGATGATGTTCTTGGTGATGCTGAGCCAAGTCCTCCTGTTGATGTTGAGCCTAACCCCTCTGCCAGTTCTGGGGTTGCCCGTCCCTCTTGGCCTACCAGAGCCACTTTTGCGGGGAGGAAAAAACCCACTGACAAGGAAGCGGCCAACTTGTTTGATTCCCGTCGTGAAAAGTTCTATCAGTTGGCCCCTAGCACCCTGTGGCGTGATGGCAAAGAACGGGAGTACTGGAAATTATGTGTGCAGTTTGATTCCTGTGACAAAGGGATTACCGAATTCTTGAAGAAAGAAGGTGTTTGCCCTGATCCCACTCCCCTGCCCCCTGGTCATGGTCGAGCTGCTGGTCGTGGGAAGGGAAAGGGCAAAGGCCGCGGTCGTGGCAGTGCGAAGTCGGTGAAGCCCAATGCCAAGGAGCCTGGCAGAAAGCGCTCTCGTGGCAAGGCGAGTCTCAAGAACTAACTGACTATGATGGCAGGGCTGAGATGAACCACAGGGTTTTCCCAACAACCATACATTGTTGGATGTCTCTTACAACTTAGTGTTGTACAAATCCTAGCTTGGGGTTTTCGGATATGGGCCAGAACCTATATCCATTCAGTTGGACATGGGCAACCATTGCGAGAGCTACCCATTGCAAAAAAAGTTTGGACATGAGTGACAACATGAAATCATATTTCAAGAGGTCCTAGCAAACCCAAAGATGCTTTTAGCTGGCTGCCTTTCAAGAAATGAATGTCGTTTCATTGCCAGCTGGCATTGCGTTGAGCTGCATCTTTGCAGGTTCTGGGGCATGGGTACCAGGGCCACAAGAGTAAAATAAATAATCATTATGTATGTATAACATATTCAATCATATATGACAAGTCAGAACATGGGGTACCTGATACAACATGCCATGTAAATGAATGCTTCGTGGTTAGCTTTTGCAACAATAACAGCTTTACATCCCAATTTCAAAACATGTTGCATATCATATTGAACACTACTGTTCGGGGGCTTGAGCCATGGTGGAGCTTCCCGAAGATGATGATGGGTATGGCCTCTTTCGCACAGTGACCCCACATACTCCTACTGCACCAGCTGCGTCTACTGCCAGGAAAGCTACCCCTGGCCCTACTAAGGGGAAACCGAAAAAGCGGGCTGCCAGTAGCACAGGTTCGGCCGCCCACAAACAGGCACATGGGTCATCGATGGCACTAGACCTCCCAGATGATGATGATGCTGGCTTTCAGATTTCACAACCCTGCTCTGTTTCAAAACCCTCAACTTCGTCTGCAAGAGTTCCAAGGGTACCAGGTGGTCAGTCTGATGATTTAGTTTTGGACTGTGAAGATGCAACACTGAAGATTGCAGCTAGCAACATAGACTCTGTGATTCATCACCCGCACCAAGATTTGATGAAGCTGATGGAGTCGCCCGACCCTGAACCATCGGCACGATGTCATGCATGGGAATTCTTTAGCATTCCCAGGATAACCCCAAAGATTAGAGAGCTTGGGGGCCGAGCTCGACGTAGCTATGACCTTCGACATTTCTGGGATTTGGGAGAGGCTGAATTTATTAGAGTGGCCATCCAAGACTTGCTCTTACTTCGACCCCTGTTCATCATCCTATCACCACCCTGCACTATGCTGTCACAACTCCAGCATTCAAACTGGAAAAGGATGAAGGTAGTGCAGCGCTGGGTGCGCCTCCTCGAAGGGCTTCTTCTGATTGACAGCGGGATGTGGATGGCAGCCATTCAGATTCTCCTCGGTCATTTTTTCATCTTTGAACACCCTGCTTACTCACTAGCTTGGGAACGCGAGTCAGTGGCTTGGTTGTGGGATGACACCATATATAATATTTTGCACCATGGGTTCATTCAATTCAGGGATTGGTAATTTTTTGATATAATGTCAACTCTGGATTAATAAACCATGGTATATTAATTGTGGGAGTACCCTCCAAATAGTCACAATATGATACATAAATGGTATCCCCCCCAATTAAACAGCTTAGGGGTTTAAATATTAATCCAGGGTTGGCATTAGTCTTGAAGTAATGGATTAGTATTAGTATCAACAAAATATTGATGCACCCTGACTGAACAAGGAATCTTTGTGCCCTGTATTTTGTAAAGAAACTATGGTCCCAAAATGGAAGCGCAACCCGTGCCAAATTTTACAAGAATCTTTGTGCCCTAGGGATTGACTTATCCCAGGTAAAGAATGTTCGTGATCAAGAAGGAGTAGTGCAGTGCTTCTTCGACCAATGCCAATTCGGCCTTGTTTCACCAGGTGGTATCCCCATGAAAAAAGCAACTTGTCTTCTCACCAATAGCAGGGCTGTAGAAAAGGTGTTCAAGGACAAATATTGTGACCAGTCCCATTCCCACCAGAGGATTGAGGGATCCGAGCAGGGTGTGCGACGCTCCCAATTTGCACAGGCTTATCCCTCACCCATGGTGAATGGCATTTGCACAGCCATCTTGGAAGAGGCCAAGAATTTTGAAGCCTTTCAGTAGGCATACTTCAGGACAAGCAGCTGCATGGGGTAAAATGTACCTTATTTTCTTGCATTTGATTTTGGGTCAAAACTCATGTGTGCAGCCCCGGAATCAACTGCGAGAATTTTCATCAATTGACATTTCAATGGATGTCAGCATCACATTTTCATGGGTTGGAGTTCCAGTCGTTTCATCTGAAACCTGCTGTAGTCAGCTATAGACCTAGGTGCCCAATAGATCTCAATGTCACATTTTCAAGGGTCCCATTTCAATAGGTCACTATAGCCTATATAAGGACTTAAAGTCGTTTCATCTGAAATCGATGGAAGTCAAGGTTGGGAAATTGAGACCCTGAGATCTATTGATTTGCATTGATTGAGTCAATCCTGGGATTTGTTGAGCACATTTTGGACCAGATTTGTTGAAACCTGAAATCCCTTGTCATGGCGGATGATCTTGATGATATTGAATCTTGGATTCCAAATTTCCCTACAGTCTTTTGTTGGCTTTGGTAGCTGATACTGATTGATTGTTCCCCTAGAAATTGTATGAAGCCAAAGGGTTTATATTCTCAGTCCCCTATCCAGCACCCTGACTTTAGGACAGGCTCCGCAATGTCGACCACACTCAAGCTGCAGCTTGTGGTCCAGTCGATACTCCATGTGATGCTCCTGTGCCGTCAGAGGTGGACACAGCGACCACATTGGCTTTGGGGTCGATCTTTGACGCAACCTATGAAGATGTCACCAAGTTGATAGAAAGTTCCTTTGAAGATTGATTCAGGACAAATATATTCCCACAAAAAAAATGTTTGATTTACAACTCGATACTCAAATCTTCTGGGCTAGGGAAGTCTGCATGAGGTGCTGGTGGGCCACGACAGTTCCTACACCAGTCTTTCCCAATCCGGGCGGAAAGGCACAGTCGAATCGCTGCAGTTCTGATGAAAGCCATAGGTGACCCAGGTGATGTTCCCTATGTCCAGCAATATCCTTTCCCAGTTTGCCTAGAAGGTGGGCCAGCCTACAAACTACAGTAATATTATTAAGTACCCCCCAAAAAAACATGAGTCATCAAATAAAGATATTTAGATATATTTAGGCCAAACCATTCTCTACAAAGTTTGTGCCTTTAAGGGTTGCCTGTAAACCTTTCCCAGCTGGATCTTGGGCCCCTTTTCAGGTGCAGAGGATGAACAAGCCCCTTTCTTCTTGCCCCTTTGGGCATTCAGCGCTGAGACAGAAAGCTCCCTTCGTGAACCACCAACCCTGGATGTCACCACAAAGTTGATCAACAACTTTGAACGAGATGGGTTTGTGACAACATCAGAGCCAATCCTCATCAGAATCCAGGCACAATATCTTTTGCAATTTTGAAGTTGCCAAAGGATTTCCCACTGAATGTCCCATGCAAAACCCTTGCCCTAAAAGATGTCAAGGGTTCTGCCAAGTGTTCCCCTGCAGATGGCAGTCCTCCCAACACATGGTGATGTTGAGATCGGAAGCATCTGGTACCTGAAGGGGGCAGCGAGGATTCAAACGGCCATGGCAGTTGTGGTTGCTTTGGACCGGATGGGGAAGGAGGCAAGGTACATGTTTGAAGTTTGGACCCCCAACTAGTTTTTTGGGTGTTGTATTTTGTGTGCTGTACTTCTTGGCTACATGTTGGCACATTATTATCTATTTTTCTAGATGTCTCGAAATAAAGGGGCCCCAAACCCAGCCAAATAATACCATAGAAATTAGTCTTGGGGCCCCTTATTCTTGATGGCACCAGGTCCCACAAGTTCTGAAGAATTCTTTGCAGCGGATCAAATGCAAGCATATCCGATTGAAAGATCGGCAATCTGAGCTGTAGCATGGTTTTTAAAACAATTTTGCTAGTTCCCTTCAACTCTTTCTTTGGGTGTTTTCCCATTTGTCCATAAAGGGGTTTAGCATCACACAGCAAAGGTTCTTCAACATGAAGCGGAGTGCCAAGAACAGCATCAGGCGTGCTCCATCAGCGATTTCATGGGTATATTCCTTCGTCAATTTATCAGCATGGGGACAAATGGATGCCACAGCCATGATCAGGTCATGGAGTCTTGTCAACTTGGGGAAGTGGTAGGTTCAATAGTTACCCTTTTTCTCCCTTTTTCTGACTTAATATGAACCAGTTGTCTTGAGATGAGGAGTCAAAAAAGCATTGCTGGCTGGTAGTCCATAAGGCTTTGTGTTTCTTTAGATATTGGTGGTTGTCCTGACACAAGGTCCCAAAAAAGAGAACTAAGGAAACACCAATCACCAACAAGTAGTATGATGAGATGGGGTCCTGATATTTTTCATTCCTCAAGCTGCTCTGTGTTCTTTCACCTAAGCCTCCAAGTTCTGAGGAATGATGATGCCCCCAAGCATGACCGAATTGTTGGCTTCAAGGCGAGTGCGGTCAAGGTGCTGCTTGAATTGCCGGAACCTGCGCGCAACTGGATTCTACATACAGTCAGTATGTATGGCTGGGAGAGCCCCAAGGCATCAAATTCAATATCTTTTTGAAATTGGAAAACAAAAAAAAACTTGTTAACTTGAAGGCTGGGGTATTTCTTTGGCATACCAACAATCATTAGATCTTAGGTTGTCCCTACAGTGATGACTGCTTCGGAACGAAAAAGATCCTTGTGGGGTATAATGCGAAAAGTGGAAGAGCTTCCCGGACATCACAGTGCGCCACCAGGCTTAAGAACTCAAAAGATTCGGTCACCCTGTTGTTTGAGATGGTTCATGCACAATTCTCCAACACTAAACCTGAACACCGGAGACGAGTGACCAAGCTTGAGTTGGAAGGCAAGGCAGAGGTGACTGCATGCGCATGCCCCTTGTCTCACATTACCAGGAGTTTGGTTGATTTGGGTTTCAAGCAGCCCCCTGTATACCTACTTGTTGGGTGTATGTATGTATGTATGTATGTAATGTAATGTAATGTAAATGAAAATGTAAATATAAATGTAAATGTACATGTAAATGTAAATGTAAATGTACATGTAAATGTAAATGTAATGTAATGATTATGTATATAACGTAATGTAATGTAATGTAATGCAATGTAATGTAATGCAATGTAATGTAATGTAACGTAATGTAAATGTAATGTAATGTAATGTGTGTAAGTACATCTGTGTGTAAGTACATCTGTGTATGTATGTATGTATGTATGTATGTATGTATGTATGTATGTATGTATGTATGTATGTATGTATGTATGTATGTATGTACATATGCATATGAAACATGCAAGGTTCTGTTGTGGAAGAGCTCACCGCACAGATCCCCAATGTGGAAGAAGCACTTCGCACAAAGTTGCCCGGCCATATCTTGTGGGGCAATACTTGTACTCCCTATTGTGTTTGTTAAGTAATGACCTACTGTCTGAACCTGAGTTCCCATGTTCCCACTCATTTTTCCCCCAGGTTCTTGAATCGCCTTCGCAATGGAGATCTGACTCTGCAAATGGAGCTGTCATCAGCCTGCGCTGAACGGAATGACAATTGGAATTGTCGTGAGAACTCATGCAACATGCCTTACTAAGATTTAATTTGGAATTACTTTGAGATTTCCATCTATGCCCTTGGGAAATTTCAATATTTGGGTCATGCGAACTAAGTTTTTGACTTTACCCCATTGAAGAAGTAAGGTATCCTGGAAATCTTGAATGAGCTGACCCCTGGGAAAGTCGTTGGCGATGGGAAGGCAGAGGCTGCCCTTCACAAATCAGCAACCGATCTTGACACTGCTGGCTACCAGCTTCTCTTGGAGGAGCTGCAATTCGATGAAAGATGCCTAGAGGTGTATAAGGGAAAGTTGTCCAACTTTGAAGTTCGGGTTGCCCAGCTGCGGGATTCATGGCGACAAAAACGAAACCAACATGCGAAAGATGCGATCCTGAAGTGGATGGACTTCAATGTTTCTCAGCTAGTCCACTGTATGTTGGACTTTCTTTTCTGTTGGTATTTGTTAGTTATTGGTTTGTTCGTTCTACATCCTCCTCTGTTTCTTTTGGCAATGTGCCATCCCATTTTGAAGTTTGTGAATTTGATATTCATTAATCTACCTAGGTGGAATCCTTCGCCTGGCCTTCGAAGTTTGATGCTGGGTCTGCTTTGACAATGATGAAACGTGTGGAAGAAGCTGCTTCGAAGTGGCAAAGTGTCATCAAATGCCGTGATGTTGTATTTTGACAGGCATATAGTTCAATCTTTTTGATTAGTGATATCCTAGTCTGAAATTTACTTTCCTTCTGGTGTTTCACCAAACTCAGGTCATTTTTTTGGGCCAGTCTTGCCATGCATTAAGGCATTGCTCTTCGTCTGCAACTATGCAGCCCCCTCCTTGGTCAAGGCTGATGTCACTACAGGGACATTCAGCATGATTGGGCACATGCTGGGTTCACAGGCCTTTGGACCCATGGCTTGTGGTGTGATGCTTTGCCCGACATTTTCCTACCAGAAACACCGGCTCTTCATTGAGGAACACACCCTCCTCCAAATGCTGGCCAGCAATTCTTGCCTGGTGGATATGATCTTCCAGCTGAATTTTGACCCCAAATCGAAGACTGAATTTTTGTCTGGAATTGATTCATCGTTTTTCTTTTAGATGTCCATATATTTCCCCTAAACTTATGACATTGAATCCTGGCACTGATCCCTGGCCCTGCCTGCTACTGCGAAAGCTAGGACCAGCGTGACCAAAGACCTCTTGCATACACGGGCCGCATTCTTGCACCGGGGGACATGACCCAGGATTGGCTTTGGAGGGACTCGTCCCTTGTCAAGTTGCGCAGGAATACCAATGAGGCAAAGCAGTTGTCATCGAAACACATGGTAGTTCAGGAGGACATGAGCCCCACTTCATTGCCCAGTGCTACTGACACTCCGATTCAGGGGGCACAAAAGTACAGTCAAGTGGGGGCTGATGCAGCCCGAAAGCTGCTCCAGTCGGCTGTTGAATCTTTCTTTGGATTTGATAACAATAAGTTTTACTCATGCCTACACCCCCAATCAAAATGAATGTTTTTTTGGGATGCTATTTAATAATTTGGGATGTATGTGTGGGGACATTCCCTGTTATCCCTGTTGTTTCTTAGGATGGTGTCCCCTTCGGAAATCAAATTGCGCTGATGGTGGTCGATTGCACCCCCTTGGTTGGAAACTTCTTTGAGGGCTTCATTGACATGGCTTCTGATGTCAACATTCCATCGAAGTATGTCCCCATCTTTGGTGATGATTCTGCGGAAGAATGGTTCTTCAGCTATTTTCAGAAGGAGTTGACTAGACGCTTTCAAACCAATGACTTCAAGATCCGCAATGCTGAGAGGTGATTTGGGTTTCCAAAGTTTCCATCAAAAAATGTTTTCAATTCTACCCGATAGATGTGGTCATAATACACTACCCTAACCAACAAGTTTTCAACAAAACCCTCTATTTCCCAATTGGGTTTATATTGACCTGGAAGGATGGCAGAAGACCCTCCACAAGCCCACATGGAGTCCAAACCGGAACCGCCGACCCTCAAGCGCTGTGTCTGGGGCAAGGTTGGGACTTGGGGAATGAATTCTTAGTATCCCAATTTACCATCATATCCAGAACTGATAAATTCCCAACAGTCTAAGGTTCAAGTACTGTTGATTCTGGAAGTTGTACATCCTACTTTGGGGATTTTCAACCTTTTCTTCCATCACATGGTGGTTAAGATGTTGCAGTATATGTTTTAGGAGCTCATTGTGTATGACAGCAAGGTCACAAACTGGATAGTAGATTTGATTCATCTTGTGTTTTTCTTCTGTCATCCTGCCACAGGTGAATGGTGAAATTTGCACCATCGAGATTCCCGAGGCAGAGGTGAAGAAGTGGTGGGGAAGGGAAGAGTGGAGAGTTTTTGTCCAAGACTTCCAAGATCGACATCCAAGTGTCAAGAAATTGGAAAAGGAAACCCCCAAGGCATCATCAGTGGGAAAGACCGGTGGATTCACAACTCCGACCCCCAAAAAGCGCTGCCTGGAAGTTGACTACTCTGGGAGTGTTGTCGCTGAAGCTGATGCTCCTGGTAATGCCAAAATCAAAGAGGTGGGCATCTTGAATGCGCGATTCCCCCCTGAAAAGAAATCAGCCGATCTTCCATCATTGGTGGTGTCTGATGCTGGCCCATACATCCAGAACTCCACTGGCTTTGCAGTTCCATGGTGAAAACACTTATGGTCATATTTTCCCTCAGAAACTTATGATCCCCAAACAAATCAACAGTTTGTCTAACTTTATCTACTTCAAGTGAGGTGACTCTTCAATTTGGATCTGTCCTTTGTGGGTGGGGCAAGGGAAAATTCCGTGAGAAGGGCCAGAAACCACGCGATGAGAATGAAATCGAATTTGTTGCTACAGCTGATATGGTGGTTCTCTTCGACAACAAGTGTTGCAACTTGTCCGAGATCTTGGATTCCGACAAATCATCCCAAACAGAAGGTGCAAGAGTTGCATATCACAAGGTTTCCCAAGATCCATCTGGGACATGGACCTTCAACCAGGATGGGTCTGATGTTGGGGTTTGCCACACTGTTCAATTATTGCTATCCCTTTTTTAGGCAAATAAAATTCTCTATGATGTCAATGTTTCTCATGATGTAATGAAAACATTTTTTCTGGTGTAAAGTTGGCTAACCTACCCCCTTGTTAGGAGCACAGTGTCATCTTCACCCCGCAACCAGAAGATGATAGCGATGCGAAGATCAACCAGGCCCAGGTGGCAAAATTCACTTCGAAGAAGGCATGGGATTCATCGGTAACGACCATGGGATGGCATGTGAAGCGCACCCAGAAGGGGATTTCTCCAGTTCGCCCCATTGTGCTGTTGACTACAAATGTCACCCTTGAATCTGGTAAAGTCTTGGTTCTCCAGAATTGAGCCGGCTGCCGCTAGTGATCATTTTTTGAACAAATCTTGGACTATAGTTTGTGCCATACAAACGATTTTTCATAGGAAGTGTTGGCAAACTGTTTTGATGAATGCGGCTGTGGCCAAGCTCAATGAAATTTTGAGACGTTATGTAGGATTGTGAGTTCCCTGCAGCCCCCAGACTTTCTGTCAATCTACCCAAGGTAAAATCAACCAGTAGCATTTGGTCAATTGCTGGTATATTGTAGTGAACTTATCGGTGCTCAGGGAAGGAACCGAAGCGTCGGGAAGGAACTGACCAATCGAACCGAACAATTTGCTCGGCAGAAGCAATTGGCTTCCAAGGTTGCAACGATGAAAAAAACACAGATCCCACAGGTACCAATAGCCATGATCATAGATCCTCTAATGGAAGCCTACAGCCATGATATGTTGCAAAACCTGGGTCTGCCCAATAACTATACTTTTTTAAGTTGACAATGACCTTACTCTTCAGATTCTTATTTTGGATCATCCTGATGCTGGATACACTGAAAAAAAGTTGTGGCTGTCTCACCCTGATGCCTGGAACACACCACCATGCGCCAAGGCCACTCCTTCAGGAGAAGTGCCACCAGGATGCTGTGCTGCCCTGGGTTGTGGGGCGACAAATCTGGCTAACGTGTTTTTATTTTAAGGGGTGTGTGCACACCTTAGTTCCTGGAACAAGTACCCACCTAGAACCATAAAGTGGGGATCCGTCAGCTGATAAACATAGCACATGAAGGGTGTATCAACAATTTTATTCATTAATTTCCAGAAACTACATAAAATAATACATTTTGGTTAGGTGATATGCTGCCAAAAACCTGGGGGCCCAGAGGTATATACATATACACAGACTTTGATCTATTATATTATGTGTGCTTATTTCAACCAAAAAATATATATATATATAATCATATGTATATATATATATTTAAATAATCATATGTATATATATATATATGTATCATCATCGTAATTAAATAAACCACAAATAAATAAAAACATATATATATATATACCCAGCTATGTGTAGGCGTTTTCTCATCACCTGTTAGATTGGTTCAAAATCTTGTAAACCTCAAATTACTTTACTTCGAGTTATCCCCACCATGACATCTATACGTTTTGTTGCTGGCAAATCTTCTGGCATTCTATCTGACATATCTTCTGGCATTTTATCTGGCATATCTTCTGGCATTCTATCTGGCATATCTTCTGGCATTCTACCTGGCACATCTTCTGCAATATGTTCTGGCATATCTTCTGACATTCTATCTGGCATATCTTCTGACATTCTATCTGGCATTCTATCTCGCAAATCTTCTAGCATATGTTCTGGCAAACATTCTGGCACTTTATCTAGCATACGTTCTGGCATTCTATCTGACATTCTATCTGGCATGCCTTCTGGCATTCTATCTGGCATATCTTCTGACATTCTATCTGGCATTCAATCTCGCAAATCTTCTGGCATATGTTCTGGCAAACATTCTGGCACTTTATCTAGCATACGTTCTGGCATTCTATCTGACATTCTATCTGGCATGCCTTCTGGCATTCTATCTGGCATATCTTCTGGCATTCTATCTGGCATATCTTCTGGCATTCTATCTGGCAAACATTCTGGCACTTTATCTGGCATATCTTCTGGCATTCTTTCTGACATCCTATCTGGCGTTCTATCTGGCATATCTTCTGGCATTCTCTCTGGCCGTTGAGGTCCAGCGGTGCTCACTGAGCTCGGAGGGTCCCAGGTTGAGGTCCAGCGGTGCTCACTGAGCTCGGAGGGTCCCAGGTTGAGGTCCAGCGGTGCTCATTGAGCTCGGACCGTCCCAGGTTGAGGTCCAGCGGTGCTCACTGAGCTCGGAAGGGTCCAGCGGTGCCCAGTGCGCTCAGACCCTTGCAGTTGAGGTCCCGCAGTGCCCACTGCGTGCGGAAGTTGGCGAAGAGCTTGGCGAAGAGTTGGCAAGGCGGAAGTGAACATGGGAGTGGATGCAAAGGTGGTGGAGGAGAAGCTGGAGGAGAGGGAGGAGGAGGAGAAGGAGGAGGTGGCGGATGAGGAGGAGGAGGGGGCGGAGGAGGAGAACAAGTGTGATAAAATCTAACAACCCTCACCTGGGCAGGTGGGGAATAATCCCAGGCTACTGGACCAAGGTACCCAAGCCGAACAAGGAAACCATTTTATGAAACCCCATTTTTCAATGCTTAACTGCTTAACATTGAAAACCGAACTTCCTGTATTGTAAGGTGCTAGGTCCTTCTTGTATCTGTGGGGGCTCCCAAAACAAACCATTCAGAAACTAATGGGGACCAAATAGAGACCCGGCAAAACTTTTCAGGGGGTTCCCAGATTGCATATAGGAAGTTAATTCATCATTGCTGATAAGGTTCAGCACTGGAGGGAATCAAAAAAATATACAACCTCATGGGCTAGCTGCTGCTGTTCACAGAATGGTGCCTATTCGCTTGGAACTGGTTTATCCAATCTCATGTTTAACCATATCATGGAGTGTTGGCAGTCCTTGCTCACCTATAAGTCAGTTCGGACATCGGTCCTTGCTCACCTTTTCTTCTTGCTCACCTTCTCTTCTTGCTCACCTTCTTTTCTAGCTCTTGCCCAGTGCTCAAACATTGCAAGGGCTTTCAGCCATGATGGCACGGTTGGGCCGGAAAAGCCAGTCTGCCTGAAGCCACGGAGCGACATCCCCGTGGACTGTGGCAACTTCCATAGGAAGTTCTGCATTGTTCAACATGTAGAACGCCACACTGTTGTTTCCAGTCTCGCCGAAGTGCCCTTAGGCCTTGTTTGCCAAAATTGCAACCCCACAAGGTAGGTGATGTGCATCGCATTCTCGCCCAACCAAGTTCAGTATTGATTTGGTTTGTCTGGCTGTGTCCTGTGGTTTCCAACCTTTGCCCAAGAAATTTTAGATTCTTGATTATAACCCTACAGGATTCATAACAGGGAGTGTCAAAAAAATGAGACACCAATAAACCAGTGTTTTCCAATTAACCATTTCTCTATGAACCATTGTTGGTTATAAGCTATAAGTTATAAGGATATTGAACAATCTTCCCACGGCTCCAAGACGCTGTGCTGCCGGGCCACTGCTGCAAGGAGCTGGGCTGTGTTGGCGCGGACCACCAGCAGCCAGCGCTTGTGGTGGATTGGGGGTGGTAGGAGGGGATATAAATAGCCTAACCCTAACCCTAAATCTAAACCCCAAATCTAATGATTTTGACCCTTAATCAATTGCAAAACTTTCATGGCAAGCGTGGCATTTTGTGAGATGTGTTGAAAATTGACGGGAAGCCTCGCACGAAACATCGATTTTGAGGTTGCAAATTTTCTGGTTTTAAGGAAAACTTGTAGGAAAACATCGGTTTTGAAGCTACAGCTACACATGTACTACAAATGTCAAAATTGGAGGAAGTCTCGCACGAAATGCTCGTGTTGATGCTCCAACATGTCTCGTCTTGAGTATGGAAAAAATGGAATGCCCCAAACCCTTCAAAACACAAGATGCAGCCCACGAACCCGAATGCAGTCACGTAGAACACTTTTGTGTAACAAGTTTTTTGAACAGTCTTGTACATGTTCCCCCCGTTACAGTACCACTAGACTGTGGAATGCGGAAGGGGGTGGGGTGCAAAGTGTGGAGTGTAAAGTGTGGAGTGCGGAGTGTCGTGTGTAAAGTGTAGAGGGTAGAGTGTAAAGTGTAGAGTGGGGGGTGTAAAGTGTAAAGTGTGGACTGTAGAGTGCGGAGTGTGGAGTGTAAAGTGTGGAGTGTGGAGTGTGGAGTGTAAAGTACGGAGTGTGGACTGTAAAGTGTGGAGTGTGAAGTGTAGAGTGTAAAGTGTAGAGCGTAAAAAGTGTAAAGTGTGGAGTGTAGAGTGTGGAGTGTAAAGTGTGGAGTTCAAAGTGTAAAAAGACTCGAGTTTAAAGTGTGGAGTGTAGAGTGTAGAGTGTAAAGGGTGGAGTGCAGCGTGTAGAGCGTAAAGTGTAGAGTGTGGAGTGTTAAGTGCGCAGTGTAGAGTGTAAAGTCTAAAGTGTTGAGTGTGGAGTGTAGTGTAGAGTGTAAAGTGTGGAGTGTTGAGTGTAAAGTGTAAATTATAAAGTGTGGAATGTAAAATGTAGTGTAGAGTGTAAAGTGTGGAGTGTAAAGTGTAGCGTGCAAAGTGTAGAGTGCAAAGTGTAGAGTGTAAAGTGCGGCGTGTAAAGTGTAGAGTGTGAAGTGTGGAATGTAAAGTGTAAAGTGTGGAGTGTAAAATGCAGAGTGTGGAGTGTGGAGTGTGAAGTGTGGAGTGTGAAGTGAAAAGTGTAAAGTGTAGAGCGTAAAAAGTGTAAATTAAAAAAGTGTGGAGTGTAAAATATGTAGTGTAGAGTGTAAAGTGTGGAGTGTAAAGTGTAAAGTGTGGAGTGTGAAGTGAAAAGTGTAAAGTGTGGAGTAAAAAGTGTAAATTAAAAAAGTGTGGAGTGTAAAATATGTAGTGTAGAGTGTAAAGTGTGGAGTGTAAAGTGTAAAGTGTGGAGTGTGAAGTGTGGAGTGTAAAGTGTAAAGTGTAAAGTGTGGAGTGTGGAGTGTAGATGGTGGAGTGTAAAGTGTGGAGTGTAAAGTGTAAAGTGTGAAGTGTGGAGTGTGGAGTGTAGAGTGTGGAGTGTAAAGTGTAAATTGTAAAGTGTGGGGTGTCAAGTGTAAAATGTAAAGTGTGGAGTGTAAAGTGTGGAGTGTGGAGTGTAGAGTGGACTGAAAAGTGTAAAGTGTAAAAAGTGTAAGAAAAGTGTAGTGTAAAGTGTAAAGTGTGGAGTGTAAAGTGTGAAGTGTGAAGCGTGGAGTGTAAAGTGTAAAGTGTAAAGTGCAGAGTGTAAAGTGCAAAGTGTGGAGTGTGGAGTGTAAAGTGCGGAGTGTAAAGTGTAAAGTGTGGAGTGTAGAGTGTAAATTGTAAATTGCGAGGTGCAAAGTGTAAAGTGGAGCGTGAGGTGTAGAGTCTAGAGTGTAAAGTGAGGAGTGTACAGTGTAGTGTGGACTGTGGAGTGTAAAGTGTGGAACGTGGAGTGTAGAGTGTGAAGTGTAGAGTTTGGAGTGTAAAGTGTAGAGTGGTGAAAGTGTAGAGTGTAAAGTGTGGGGTGTCAAGTGTAAAGTGTGGAGTGTAAAGTGTAGAGTGTGGAGTGTAGAGTGGAGTGAAAAGTGTTGTAAAGTGTAAAAAGTGTAAGAAAAGTGGAGTGTAAAGTGTAAAGTGCGGAGTGTAAAGTGTGAAGTGTGGAGTGTAAAGTGTAAAGTGCGGAGTGTGTAGAGCGTGGAGTGTGGAGCGTAGAGCACGCAAGGCGACACGTCTGAAGTGCTGCGCCTGCCACGCAAAATGATGATGGAGGTCTCCAAAGTGTTGCGCCTGCCAGGAAAACTGCGTCTCATCTTCTGGAAACGACGCAAAAGTATTGCGCTTGTCACACAAAACGGCTTTCGACACGTTTGCAAACACGCGAGAATGTCGCGAGGTGCCACGCCTGCCACGCAAAACAACATGACAACCTGATTTGACACCTTCAAAAGGGATAGGTTTTGCAGCTTCCCCCATAGACTGCGAGGGGCATCACAAAACACTAATGGTGGAGCTCCTCATTCAAAAATGTTGCTCATGTGTGGTAAATTATGACCACTGTATTTTCTGTTCAAAGAGGAGGATGGGTTTAGAATATACACATGATAAATAGTTAGATTTTGTGATCGTGGTTCCCCATTTGGGGAGTGACACATCGTCTGGAACGTTTATTTATGGTACACTCTCTTTTCTCTGTTTTTTTTGGACATACCTGGGTATCCATGGCACAAAACCTGCTGTGGAAACAAGTCCCATCCAGCTCCACGGGGCACAGCCGACACCGAAGGATTGCTGCCTGGAAACTGGGCCACCATGATGTTTGCCAACCATTTGTGGCAGGTCAGCAAGTGTTGGGTATGAAGCACCCGGGGGCCATGAAACTCTCTGCGAAATTCAGGTGAACTCCCCATTTCTTTCTGCGATGTGTTGGTGAGAATTCCATGCGTATTACATTGTTGGATCATGGTTACTCCGATTGTCTTTTTTGGTGCACTTTTGTTGGTTGGAATTTCATGGTTGTTGACAAATAAGGTTTTGCAGCCGATAGGGGGTCTTTGGAAATGGATTCTAGGGTCCTTGGTGATTTAGTTCTTCCTCTGATTGTGTGATATATGTTTTGCATTATATATTTCTTTGTCTATCTTATCTAACAAGGTAGGTGGCCTTGGTATATACTAGTGAAAATGATCCCAAAGGAAAGATCGTCTTGGGTTAGTGTCCCTTGGATGTTTCAATATACTGTTAATTCTTATCCGCCATTCGGTAATCATGCCAAGATGGGGATTGATAATTTGTGTCTCCATCCATTTACCCTTCTATTCGTGGAAGTGCCAGTCAGAACAAACGATCACCATTCGATCGTAGTTCAAATAGGTTTTTTTTGGGGGGTTGGGTACTTTGATAAAATATGAACATATATTATGTATATATATGTATATCAATATATGCAGCCGATAGGGGGTCTTTGGAAATGGATTCTAGGGTCCTTGGTGATTTAGTTCTACCCCTGTGTGTGATATATGTTTTCCATTGTTTATTTCTTGATCTATCTTATCTATCAAGGTAGGTGACCTTGGTATTTACTAATGAAAATGATCCCAAAGGAAAGATCGTCTTGGGTTAGTGTCCCTTGGATGTTTCAATATATTGTTAATTCCTATCCGCCATTCGGTAGTCATGCCAAGATGGGGATTGATAATTATTGTCTCCATCCATTTACCCTTCTATTCGTGGAAGTGCCAGTCAGAACAAACGATCACCATTCGATCGTAGTTCAAATAGTTTTTTTTTTGGGTTGGGTACTTTGATAAAATATGAACATATATTATGTATATATATGTATATCCATATATGCAGCCGATAGGGGGTCTTTGGAAATGGATTCTATGGTCCTTGGTGATTTAGTTCTACCTCTGATTGTGTGATATATGTTTTCCATTGTTTATTTCTTTATCTATCTTATCTATCAAGGTAGGTGGCCTTGGTATATACTAGTGAAAATGATCCCAAAGGAAAGATCGTCTTGGGTTAGTGTCCCTTGGATGTTTCAATATTATTAATTCTTATCCTTGTTTCGGTAGTCATGCCGAGATGGGGGTTGATAATTAGTCTCTCCATCCATTTACCCTTCTATTGGTGGAAGTGCCAGTCAGGACAAACGATCACCATTCGATCGTAGTTCAGATAGGTTTTTTGTGGGTTGGGTACTTCGATAAAATATTTTTAAAAAAATATTATGCGACGGATGTTCGGATGCGATGGATACGGGGTCCTCCAAGCCGAAAGATCTTCAATTTTTTTTTCCTAAATCTCAAAATCAAGGACCCCAAATCCTTTGCGGCAAAAATCATGGTAGAATATAATAGTAGGGCTGTTTCCTAAGTCCACATGCCAATTTCTGCACCCTGAGATCGTCAATTTTTTTTTTCCTAAATCCCAGGGTACAACCTCTGTATTGCCTAAGTCTAGGTGCAGATTTTTGCGACCTTACTTAGGCAATACCCCACCAAGCACCTAGGATATCGTCAATTTTTTTTTCCTAACTCAGGGTGCTGATTTCTGCGCCCTGACTTCGGCAAATTAGCTGCTGGACAATGCATTTAAAGGATATATGATGTAGACGTAGAAATAATGGGGGAAATTTACTACTTAAAAAAAAATAATGACAATCAGGGATAACATTGGTGGCTTTATACCAAAGGTATATGGGGGCACCACCCTAGAAAAAACAAGAGCGTGGTTGATACCTTTTCCATTTTGATCCAGCATTTTTTTTTTGGGTACCCTTCAGAAATGGTAATGGACCCCAATTAATCCAAGGAATATAATATAATAAAATAACCGTAACCGATACTGGGATGATATCAATTTAGCCAACCAAGTGGTTGCCTAAGAGTGAACATAATAATGCACATAGAATTTTCTATGAGCATGGTAAAAAACTAGACGACGGATGGCCCGAGAGCGTAGAGGAGCAGGTCTTCTCTTGTTAGTATGGAGACACCATATTAGAAACAATGTATTAAAGATGTGTTATAGGCAGTCGAGAAGAGGAGTATTAAGACAAAATAGCAGAAGTGCAACACAATAGTTTGCATCGCAAACACGCACAGAAGCTTTTACGCACAGAAGCTTTCACACACAGAAGCTTTTACAGACAGACACTTTCACACACAGACCCTTTTACGCACAGACGCTTGTACACACAAAAACTTTTACACACAGAAGCTTTTACACACAGACGCTTTTACACACAAAGCTTTTACACACAAAGCTTTTACACACACAGACGCTTTTACAGACAGAAGCTTTTACACACATACGCTTTTACACAGATGCTTTTACACACAGACCCTTTTACACACACACTTTTACACACAAAGACTTTTACACACAGACGCTTTTACACACAGACGATTTTACACACAGACGATTTTGCACACAAACACCTTTACATACATACACTTTTACACACAAACACTTTTACACATAGATGCTTTTACACGCAGAAGCTTTTACACGCAGACGCTTTTACACAGAAGCTTTGACACACAAACGCTTTTACACACAGACGCTTTTACGCACAGACGCTTTTTACACATAGGCTCTTTTACACACAGACGCTTTTACACACAGACGCTTTGACACACAGACGCTTTTACACACAGACGCTTTTACACACAGCCACACAGAAGCTTTTACACATAGACGCTTTGACACACAGGCACTTTTACACACAAACACTTTTACATACAAACACTTTTACACACAAACACTTTTACACATAGACGCTTTTACACGCAGAAGCTTTTACACGCAGACGCTTTTACACACAGACGCTTTTACACACAGAAGCTTTGACACACAAACGCTTTTACACACAGACGCTTTTACACACAGACGCTTTTACACACAGACGCTTTTTAGACACAGGCTCTTTTACACACAGACGCTTTTACACACAGAGGCTTTTACACACAGACTTTTACACACAGACGCTTTTACACACAGAAGCTTTTACACACAGACGCTTTTACACACAGACGCTTTTACACACAGACGCTTTTACACACAGACGCTTTTACACACAGACGCTTTTGCACACAGTCTTTTACACACAGACGCTTTTACACACAGACGCTTTTACACACAAACACTTTTACACACAAACACTTTTACACACAGACGCTTTTACACACAGACGCTTTTACACACAGACGCTTTTACACACAGAAGCTTTTACACACAGAAGCTTTTACACACAATCACTTTTACACACAAACACTTTTACACACAGAGACTCTTATACACAGAGACTCTTATACCCAGACGCTTTTACACACAGACGCTGTTACACACAGTCACTTTTACACACAGACGCTTTTACACACAGGCGCTTTTACACACAGACGCTTTTACACACAGACGCTTTTACACACAGACGCTTTTACACACACACGCTTTTGCACACAAACGCTTTTGCACACACACGCTTTTACACACAGACGCTTTTACACACAGACGCTTTTACACACAGACAAGTCCGGCACAGGAAAAATCGCAATTTTTCTTCAGTTTTTGACGATCGACCTTCATTTCGTGCGAAAGGGTTGCTCCGGCACAAGTAAAATCGCAATTTTTCCTCAGTTTTTGACGATCGACCTTCATTTCGTGCGAGGGGATTGCTCCAGCACAAGTAAAATCGCAATTTTTCCACAGTTTTTGACGATCGACCTTCATTTCGTGCGAAAGGGTTGCTCCGGCACAAGTAAAATCGCAATTTTTCCGCAGTTTTTGACGATCGACCCTCATTTCGTGCGAAAGGGTTGCTCCGGCACAAGTAAAATCGCAATTTTTCCGCAGTTTTTGACGATCGACCCTCATTTCGTGCGAAAGGGTTGCTCCGGCACAAGTAAAATCGCAATTTTTCTTCAGTTTTTGACGATCGACCCTCATTTCGTGCGAAAGGGTTGCTCCGGGGCAAGTAAAATCACAATTTTTCTTCAGTTTTAGCCGATCGACCCTCATTTCGTGCGAAAGGGTTGCTCCGGCACAAGTAAAATCGCAATTTTTCCTCAGTTTTTGACGATCGACCCTCATTTCGTGCGAAAGGGTTGACGTTTCGTGACTCACCGCCGGCACCACCCTCGGCCTAAAGAGAGAAAGATAAAGAAGGTGAGAGAGAGAAAAGGGAGAGAGAAAAGGGAGAGAGAAAGGAGAGAAGATGTGAAGATGAGAAGATGTGAAGAGGAGCAGATGTGAAGATGAGCAGATGTGAAGATGAGCAGATGTGAAGATGAGAGAGAGAAGGTGTGAAGATGAGAAGGTGTGAAGATGAGATGTGAAGAAGAGCAGATGTGAAGATGAGCAGATGCGAAGATGAGCAGATGTGAAGATGAGCAGATGTGAAGATGAGAAGGTGTGAAGATGAGAAGGTGTGAAGATGAGAAGGTGTGAAGATGAGAGGTGTGAAGAAGATGTGAAGATGAGATGTGAAGAAGAGCAGATGATGAAGATGTGAAGATGAGCAGATGTGAAGATGAGAAGGTGTGAAGATGAGAAGGTGTGAAGATGAGAAGGTGTGAAGATGAGATGTGAAGAAGAGCAGATGTGAAGATGAGAAGGTGTGAAGATGATGTGAAGATGAGAAGATGTGAAGATGAGAAGGTGTGAAGATGAGCAGATGTGAAGATGAGAAGGTGTGAGAGAAGGTGTGAAGATGAGAAGATGAGATACAGACCCCCACTATTGGAAGAACCCTGCGCTCAGACGCTCTCGGGAAAAAGTTACATTAAATAACCAATGGTAAGATGATACCAATTTAATCAACCAATTGGTTACCTCATAGGGAAAATAATAAGGTACCTATATAATACAATTCAATTCCATTATCATATATTAAATATTTGGAAAGACCCAAGAATCCATTTGCAGAGAACCCAGATCAATTGCAAAACATAGATATAATATATTCTATTTTTTATCGAAGTACCCAACCCCCCAAAAAAAACTATTTGAACTACGATCGAATGGTGATCGTTTGTTCTGACTGGCACTTCCACGAATAGAAGGGTAAATGGATGGAGACAATAATTATCAATCCCCGTCTTGGCATGATTACCGAATGGCGGATAAGAATTAACAATATATTGAAACATCCAAGGGACACTAACCCAAGACGATCTTTCCTTTGGGATCCTTTTCACCAGTATATACCAAGACCACCTACCTTAATAGATAAGATAAGATAGATAAAGAAATAAATAATGGAAAACATATATCACACAATCAGAGGTAGAAATAAATCACCAAGGACCCTAGAATCCATTTCCAAAGACCCCCTATCGGCTGCATATACTGATATATATATATATAGAAAATATTTTTAATATTTTATCAAAGTACCCAACCCAAAAAAAACCTTTTTGAACTACGATCGAATGGTGATCGTTTGTTCTGACTGGCACTTCCACGAATAGAAGGGTAAATGGATGGAGACAATAATTATCAATCCCCATCTTGGCATGATTACCGAATGGCGGATAAGAATTAACAATATATTGAAACATCCAAGGGACACTAACCCAAGACGATCTTTCCTTTGGGATCCTTTTCACTAGTATATACCAAGGCCACCTACCTTGTTAGATAAGATAGACAAAGAAATATATAATGGAAAACATATATCACACAATCAGAGGAAGAACTAAATCACCAAGGACCCTAGAATCCATTTCCAAAGACCCCCTATCGGCTGCAAAACCTTAAATAGTTGATTTAAACTACCGCTGATGATAAAAATCATGTTGAATAAACATAATGAAAATCCCCACATGTGCTGATTAGACCATGCGATACCATGCGATATTCAACTGTTGTTGTTTAAAATCACAGTTTTGCTGTTTAAATCCTTTGAAATCCACCATGTTTGTCGGCTAAATCACACATGTTCAGTGGTAACAATGGGTTTGTCTGAAAATGAACAACAACAATGTTGGTTACAGTAATCATATTTTTTCCATCATTGGGGGGTGTAGTCCGTTTTCAGTCTCACTGAAAAGGATATTTTGATGCTTATACTCCCATATTCCCCAATTTTATCCCCATTCCAACATGATATCCCCCATTTTCTGCTTGCCTTTCTGTGGGTTTTCCCATGGTTTTCACCATTTCTGCTGGTTTTCCCATGGTTTTCCCCATTTCTGCTGGGTTTTCCCATGGTTTTCCCCATTTCTGCTGGGTTTTCCCATGGTTTTCCCCGTTTCTCCCCGTTGTGTCACCGGTGAGACGGCTCCAGGTGCAGCGCGTGCTCCACGGCTCCGGCTCTGTCAGCCGCATCGCCTTTCCAGCGCTGTTGGTGGCGGTGGCCGCAGTGCTGGTGCTATACAAGCACTGGCAGGAGCGGTGCATGGCGAAACCATGGTGAAACCATGGCTGGTTTATTATGGTTTTAAAAGAACATGATAGTGGGTATATACATAGTATGACATAGTTCATCATTTTTTTTGAACTAGCTAGGGTTTATATCACTAAAGTTCACTAAATATGGTGAGGAAAAATGGAATTATATTATCTATATTAATTCTATGCTGGCACTGGTTAATGTTTTTGAATGTTCGATTAAATTTATATCATTGTCTATCACTACCAAAACAAAATTAATGTTTGTGTGTGTGATACAATCATTAGTAATATTTTTGTGAAACCGGTTGATGATCAGTAGTGGCCAATAGCAATTGTTTGTAAACAATAATGGTCAGTAACTACATAACTAGTAATAGGTGTTGATAGTTGCATACATATCGAGTTATCATTTTTATATAACCATTACTAAGTATTATTTCAAGAATGGTTAGTCAATTAATTAGTCAATATCATGTATCCATCATGATTAAGCAGACTGTTCATCAATATAGTTGCCATTCTTGTAATTGATGGCTAGTAATTTTTAATAGATGTTCATGGTCATTATGATACGTGTAATAATTGTACATAATAGCGAACAATGGTCAACGGCGGGGATATAATAATGATTGAAATGATTAATACTGGTTAATACTAGTTGATAAGTGTTGCTGTTAATGAAGGGATAGTTGACAATCATAGCGGGCAAGTGTTAAGAGCATAGATAGAATTTTCAGAACATGCCATGATACTATAGTTATACTACATAGCTTCAACAAAATCGGAGCATACCATGGTTTTTGACGAGATTCTTCCAGACGGTGACCGTTTAAAACCGTGGGTTTGAACCGGTTTGATAGCATGGCCGGATCATGTTTGGCCATTGTCGATCGGGGAGTACCCTACTGCGAATTGATTTTGTTGCAGGGTGTCCAAGATGTACCCTGCAACAAAATCCATAGATGATGTTTGATTTTCTTACAAGAGATTGATTGAGATTCTTTGTGGTTGGTGTTGGGATGATGTTTGTTGAAGGTAAGTGTTGCGGAGAGTTAACTGTCGTGATGATGTACATTGTCATATTGGTGAAGGTGGAACATCTATTCCTCAGCAATTGATTCGTAAATTTGAATGAATTTGATGGTTAAAGGACAAGTGAAAGAAATGCCTATGTATGGCAAACCGGAGGTCATGTGTTTAAACGTGAACCTTCACTGGCACGGAACAGGGCTTTGCAAGGAACTCTGAGTCAGGCCTTGTTTGAAAATCGATCCAAATCGCTCAGAGGACCAGACGGGTGGTGACCCAACGAAGACGTTTCTTGCGTTGATACTTGGCAGTTAGCATGTATGTTCCAAAATGGAGCAGTTCCCTCAAACGTATAGCAAATTTAATGGGGAACAGGATCAGCATATTTTCAGTCAAACCATGGAAACATATGGAAACTTGGATTTCTGCTTCAGGTGAGGGTGAATTCCCCAAATGTTTGGTGTCGTTGAGTGCACGTCGTGTTTTGTACCTATGAACAGAACACCTAGAAATCAATGATGTTTGTTACCAAAACTAGGCAACCAAGTCTGGTGAATCGTGTGGCCCCCGATTTTCCCTGATACTTTGAAGCCCACTTATGTCCCTCCAAGGATTGTGGTGCAGATGTTGCCGTTGGTGTTTCTGGAGGAGCAGATTCTTTCATGTCCCGACCCCATCAGCATGCTCTCACGCTTTGGGAGCAAGGTGCTAGCTGGTTCGCTGTGCTGCTGGGTGATGCTGGGTGGGCCAAGCAGGAAAATGAAATCCCATAGCTGCTCTAATTGGATTGTTTATATACCCTCTGGTTACTTAACATAGCCATGGAAAATGGCCCATTTATAGATTACCTATTAAAAATTGTGATTTTCCATGGCTATGTTAAATAGCCAGATGGTAGACTTTAGACTCCTCGGAAGTGCCAAAGTCGGCTTTTGGCAGACGCCTTCCATTGGAACCCATCCCATCAGTGACAGATTAGCCGGTAGCACCATGTGTTTCACCGAAAACATTTGGCTCAAGTTTCGCCGCTTGCAGCTGCTTCTGCATCTTCTGCCCAACTGGCAGGTCCTGGCTCTTTCAGGAAACGCAGCTGATATGTGATGGGGACAATGGGGTAAAGAAGCAAAGCTTACAAAAGAAAGAGCAGAATGGAGAACATGGCATGATCCGCTATGCGTTTGCGATGAGATCAATGAGGGTTTTCCACGGTTTTCCCCTTTTGTTTGGTCGCATATATTTCCACGGATAATAGTGGCGTGATGAAGTTGACCCCGTCCTGTTTGTTTCATGGGGATCCCGGATTCTCCTCAGTCACTTGACGTTTGCATTCTAGAGTTCTGGGTCGCCACGATGTCGTTCAACATCAGATTTCAGTCATTACTTGTACGATAATGTACGACTAAGTATTGCTTTGTCTTCCTCTGCATTTGTGGAAATATATGGAAATATACTCTACTGGTAAGTGCAATGGTGTGTTCAAACATTACCCCAAACTGCAGCGACCTGTTTGCAGATTTGCTCAGGACGCATCCAGACCATCAGACCTGACTTGCGATATCACAAGCGATGTCTCGTGTGCCATTCATTGTTGGAAGTTGGAAAGGTGACTGGGCCAGAGGTTCTAAGCTTGAGGGTTGTGGAACTAGACCACAGAAATAATGCTGTCCGCCTGAAGTTACTGGACGCACATCTCAAGACTACGGACCTTTCGTTCCGCGCAAGGATCAGCATGTGTGAAAAACATTCTTCGTTAAAAGCCACTCCACACCAGAGGGGAATTCCAGCTGAGAGCTGACCCGTACAGCGGAACTCCTGAGGGAAAGGCAAAGTGTCGCCCAAAGGAATTGAATATCTGGAATCTTCAACCTTCCTCCTCCTGAGGACAGGCTTCTGGATGGGTGCTTGGTGGTATTGTGTCAGCTGGGTATGCGTACAACCTGGACAAATGTTCAACAGAAACACGTCATAGTACATCATAGTACCATATTATATCATATATACATATATACAGAGATTTTTGCTATTATATATTATATATATATAGCACTTACAATTTCAATAGCTTATAGCAAGCGAACATCATGCAACATAGGATTGTGGGCAATTCGGCAATTCATTGGATCATTTCTTTGGGATCCAATATCTGCAGGACGGAGCCAGCAACCATCATTAACTGGCAGCAATTTACGAAGCATGTGGAGACCTTGAAGCCCATGCATGCAGAGAATGGGCTCCTTGGCTGAGAAATTACACATGCGACCTGCCGCTATGCTGAATGGTGAACATGTATGAACATGTTCGATTGACCAGTGGATTTTGGGTATGCCGGGTATACCACATGTTTGGACAACTCTGTGTAGAAGAAGTCCTCAATCAGCAAACTGTTCTTGTGATCAAACGGGATGTTTTTACATTATACGTCTTTTGAGTGGAGTCTCAACTGACACCATGGGAGAGTTGTTCGTCATTCTTGCTTTTTGACTCACCATTGGGGATTTTCATCCGCATGTGAATATATAGGAATGATGCAAATGTGATTAAACTATAATATTATATTATAAATTAGTATATAAAATAATGAAATATAGTACAATATTATATAGGAGAACTTAATATAACATAATATGATATGTTATTGTGCATGTATCCATCCATACATCACCGAAGGAAGTTTAGAAGTCAAACTTCCGACAATATGGACAGATGAAAAGCAGAGATGGAAAGGGTCAGAGAGAAGAGAAAGATTAGAAGAGAGAAGAGTAGAAGAGAAAGAGTCAGAAGAAAGAAGATGCAGATGCGCGAAAAGGTAGGAAAGTCGCGAAACACTGTGTTTTTCCAATGATTTGTGGCTCCAGGAGGGTCGAAAAGTAGGCTCGCTAAAGCGGCGGGTGCGGAGCCAGCTGGCCAGATGAGAGATGAAAAATTGCACGCCGTTTTGGCGCGAAGCACATTTCGAAGTCAAAATGTACAAAGCACACCACGTTCGGACCACTTTTGGAAGTTGAGATGTCGAAAAAGTGCACGCCGTTGTGGCGCGAAGCACATTTCGAAGTCAAAATGTACAAAACACTAGGGGTGTGGACCACTTTTGGCAGTTGAGATGTCGAAAAAGTGCATGCCGTTGTGGCGCGAAGCACATTTCCAAGTCAAAATGCACAAAGCACACCATTGTCGGACCACTTTTGGGGGTTGAGATGTCGAAAAAGTGCACGCCGTTGTGGCGCAAAGCACATTTCGAAGTCAAAATGTTCAAAGCACTAGGGGTTCGGACCACTTTTGGAGGTTCAGATGTCGCTTCACTACACTACACTAGATTACACTCCACTACACTACACTACAGGACATTACACTACACTACACTTCAGTACGCTACATTACACTACACTACACTCCAGTACACTCCACTACACTAAATTACACTACACCACACTACATTACACTACACTACGCGCCACTACACTACACTACACTACATCACATTACACTACACTACACTCCACTACACTACATTACACTATACTACACTATCTTCCACTACACTTCACTACCTTACACTACAACTACAACTACAACTACAACTACAACTACACAACTACACTCCACTACACTCCACTACACTAAATTACACTACACTACACTACATTACACTACACTACACTACATTCCGCCACACTCCACTACACCACACTACAATACACTACACTACATTACATTGAATGACACTGCACCACAGATAGACAGGTCGGCAGATAGACAGACAGACAGACAGACAGATAGATAGATAGGTTGGGAGGTGGGTAGATAGTCAGAGAAAGAGAGAGAATGAGAGGAGAGAGGAGACCTCAAGCACCTTTTGGTCCATCAGTGGATTCGCTCTGCCATCCCAGATTCACAACAATCAATCTCTCCTATAGGTTTCCTATTTTTGAAACTTCCGCCACCGCCTTGTGCGGTACTACTGGTAGTACAAATCAGTACAATAAATTACAATACCTTCAGATTAACGTGAAAGTACAGCCCCGTGACTGCACTACTTTGCAGGACATACACATTCACACAATATGTGTATCATCATAATTTCACATCTATTCAAATCTTACTTAGTTCTGCTGGTTCTTGACAGTTCTCCTAAACTCACTTTCAGACACCTTCTTGTGGAGTCAAGTATCTGCGCTTCTCTGAACCTTGGGTACCACCAATTTTGAAGATTTCCTAAAGTCGGGGGGTATCCCAAATCATCCAAGTATTGAAACAAAAATGGTGACCCCATGACGTTTTGGAAACCCCCAAGTGGTTGATTCTGCAGATATTAAGTATACATATATATATATACATATGTTTTTTCTGTTTGGTGGTTTGGAACATTGTTTTTGTTTTTGAATTTCCATATATTGGGAATAATCATCCCAACTGACTTTCAATATTTTTCAGACGGGTTGAAACCACCAACCAGAAATTATAAAAGTAGAATCCGATTAAATCCCGTTAAACTCCATGAAAGCACCAGTTTCAGCCATGAAGGTTCCTGAAGATTTTGCCCAAACCCGAAGAGGGCGAGGTGAAGAAGGCCGAGTTGATGCTCAGCCATCCCTTCAGCGTCAATGAGCGCCTTGTTGTCAGCGTATCTCAAGGTTTTTGAACCCCCAGACTTGCATGGTTTGATAAGATTGGATATGGACTATGATATAATACAATACAAGTATATATATATATATATTATTGCAATTTTGTTATATATATATGTATGATATATATATATATACGTGTATTATTATACATTATATATAAGGATGGACAATAATCATAACCCGTAATAAAATATGATACGTGGTGAACATATATGTTTCGCCATCAACTGTTGTTTTTTCCGTTCTTAGACGAAACCAGTGCCGCCAGTGAGCAATTTTTGCCATCGAAATATTCACTGGATTGGTTGAGTTGGGAAAATCGACAGGAAACTCCATGGTTTTCCCCGTGATTTCTATAGGCGTTTCCGTCGTAAATGTTCCCTTAAACCCATCCCGTGAAATATGTTTCTTTATTGTCCATGCATCAAGAGGATGCAGCCACTTGACTACATAATATGACTACATTACAGTGTTCCGTGCGGAATGGAATCATCAAGAAGCGACGCTTGTTGTTCACATCATTGTAAATGGCAGGTAAATGGATGTCAATGCCCCAAATATGGTATCAGGCTTTGAACCCTGAGCATGTTGCTGTTGTTTGCATTGATCAACCACTAGAACGAATATGGGTCAAAATGTTCAATGAAAGGCGATTTCTCTGAGTTATCTTTTTTAGCATGGCTGGAACGCCGGAGATGCGATGCAGTATGAACGCTGTGGCTAGCGGTCAGGTATTACAAAACCGCTCACTTCGACTTTGCTCAGAACATCTTCGAATGTCTGGCAGACACGGAGGACTGCTTCCAGCGCGGACCAGCAGCAGGTGGCAAGACGCTTGGACTACTCCAAAGAAAGCGAATTTCTGGGAATATAAATAAGTAGTTACAGATCAATCACAACTATTACAATCATGTTATCATGTTGAAGGTTCTTAAACCTTATCAAAACCTTGTAACATTATCCTGATTCTTGAATATTATTCTGAACATGACTATACAGTATTATTATTGTTACATATTGTTACAGAAACATAATACTATGTTTCTTACATAAATGTTCATAACATATAAATCATATTACTATTGTACTACTGTACTATTGTTATTATTGTTACTAGCTGGTGGTTTCAAACATTTTTTTCCATTTTTATATGGGATAATCCTTCCCATTGACTTTCATATTTTTCAAGATGGTTAAAACCACCAACCAGCCATGTTTTTTCCACTGGGACTATTCCACTATTAATGGATGATATATCCAACTAGCAGATATTTATTTTCCAATATATATCCCATTTTCATAGTGGATATCCAATATAGTGGCTATATCCACTATCATTTCGTATTCTGTTTCCGTTCGCCTCGGGAGAGTTCTCTGTTTGCTTCCGAGGCCTGCGACGGGATCACGCAGGATCTACAAATTGGAGGATGGGAAGCTGGTCTACGACATGTGCCATGGCTGCCATGAGAAGCTGCTCGTTGGATTAGTTGGATAAACATGGGGTTTAATGCGATATATCACCAACTTCAATGGCATTTAATGGGGTTTTACGGGGTTTAATGGGATGTATATCACCAACTTTAGTGGGATGGTAAACCAAAAAGTGTTTAGGGATCTCACCACCAAATATGGTGAAATCATTTATAATGGGGATATATATATATATATATGTGCCATGGTCGAAAAATTAAAATATGTGACCATTACTTGGGGGATGGTGAACCTGCCATTGAGAGGGATTTATATATATATAGATGTATTTATTTATATATATATATATACACCCAGGAGATATATATAATATATATATATGGATATATATATATATATGGCACCATTTTTTCAACTTCCCTATTCTCAGCATCCTCACCATGGCACCAGGACCAGGCCACCATGTTGCCGTGTTTATCTAAGGTACTTGCGCACCGAAGGAAGCGATGAGTTTGTTCACCACTTGCATTGCGAGATGGAAAAGATTCCTGAATGATGGAAGAAAACAGGTGGATTTGTTGAAACATCTTGAAACTTTCGTCCAAGTGTGACGAGAAGTGACACCTCGAGCCGCTGTCTTAAGCACCCGATGGGTGCGTCAGTTCAGCTGGCGGGGCTTGAATCATTTACATTGGACGAGCGGTCGCAGCGGTGGGAGCCCTTTTTGCAACCCTCGCAATGTCAGTAGGAAAAAATTGTGTGTTGGCTATTGGCAAGCTGGCAAATGTGTGATCACCACTTGAACTTACTGGATGACGACATGTATGCGACAGAGAACAAGTATATAGCAAAGAATAGCAAGCCTTTGGACTAGTGACCGTGCAAATACGACATGCAACCACGCCCCCCAAAGCGTTGGATTTGGATCAGCAAAGATAGAAATGCATATAGAAACATATTTGCGTATAGTGATCCCCAAAAAGAGAGAAAAAGAGAGAAACAGTAAATCTATGTAGTAAATCCCTGTTAAAATTTGGAAGATTCATGAAGATGAAGTTCTCTATCCTTTTTGGGGGTTACTATAGGTATACCATACACGGAGCACCCATTGTGGCATCCGCCAGTTGTCGCCCTGGGTCCTGCCAGGTGCTTCTGATGCACGCATGCTTTCTTGCCTTGCGCGTTTGTTCCTGGCCGTTGCTGGAGGTCCAGCCGCACAAACATTTGGACATGAGGATGATGATGCATAAATGTGTTGATTTTGAGTTCCTTTGAGCTAGTCAGTACTATAATTTTCTGGATCAGAGGTATGAGGTATGCAAACGTGCAAGAGAGAAGTCAACTGAAAGACAGATTCATTCAGCCTGGCACCAGCGGTAGGTGATTTTGCTTGTGCTATCACGCTTATTGTGCGCGTTATCTATGCAAACACATCAATAATCAGTTCAGTTCCCCCAGGAGCCTCAAGCAGAGTTACAGCCTAGACTCAAACGATCCCAAACAGCTCTAGAGTCATTCATTTTGAAACACCAACTTCCTGGTCATCTTCTTCTCCTGCAGGTGGGTATTGGAAAGTGCAACCTGATTGGGCTCATTGGTGTTTGTGCAGCCCTGTATCTAGGCCGGGCGCCAAGGTGATGAGGGGACCAATGTCCAATGAAAGTGGGATTTTCCGGTGACGGATTCAACCATGGGGGTACCCCATGGTACCCCCAAATCATCCATTTTAGTAGGATGTTCATAGATTATCCATGATGATTTGGATTTATGTTAATTATCTATATATAATTTTAGCTGGAGATTTCCATTTATCCATGATAAACCATCCAGCTCTTGGAAACCTCCGAGTCACCAGCAGGATTTGACTTCCGCTTCTCCTCGCTACGCTGCCAGATGGTGCCTCAGCGGATCATCATTTTCCCTGGGTATAAAGCCCCAAATTGTTGACCCAAGCTCTGCTTGCTATCTAGGCAGCTACTACTGGTTGGTGGTTTGGAACATGGCTGGATTATTTTTCCATATATTGGGACTGTCATAATTCCAACTGACTAATATTTTTAGAGGGGTAGGTATACCACCAACCAGGCTATGTTTAAAAGGTTTAGATAGATAGTTTTGGATCTTGTGTTTTGCCCGTTGGTCCTGAAATGGTGATGCCACGAAGAATCATCACGGATAATGTTTTAATGTGACTAACATGATACGTTACCCTCCAAACATTCATGAATCAATATAGATATTTGGGAAACATATCCCATAGGATCCATGTCTGGTATATATGCTAACATTGGGGGTATATTGATGCTAAATGTTACCATATATAGCATATATGGATCCTATGGGTATTCCAGCATTTGTAGATCATTGAATCCATCGGGAAGCCATCGGGCTTTCCATATCTATAGTTTTGCTGGCCGGAATGGAGACCTGCTGCGAAGTCGTCTGAAAAGTTCTAAAGATTCTAAAGTCAGTGATGCAAACAGATGGATTTGTTTTGTTCAAGAAAAAACAGATGATTTACCCTTTGGTAAATTAACATAGACCCTGGCAGATAGGGTGTAAGTTTAAGATCTGAATGATGTTCACTTCAAGGTGGTGCCCCCTAGTTATAAGTTGATTTATAATCCCATTAACTGTAGATATATCTATCATCAGTCCTACTTATTAGAGTTATAAACCAACTTAGCTATCTTGGGGGCACCACATTGTTGGTTCCCCCTATTTTGGGGAATCCTAAATGGAACCCCCAGGACCTGCTGGCTTTGGTCCTGCTGGCTGTGGGCAGTGCATTTCTTACGGAGGTGGGAGACATTTCTGTGGCGAAACCGACCTTAGAGCTATAGCCCAGTGCCATTTATGACATGTCTTGTTATAATGGGAATATAATGGGAATATAATGGGAATATAATGGGAATATAATGGGAATATAATGGGAATATGGATATAATATGTTATAATACGGATATCTGGTTGGTGGTTTGGAACATGGCTTTTATTTTTCCATTAATATTGGGAATGTCATCATCCCAACTGACGAACTCACATTTTTCAGAGGGGTTGAGACCACCAACCAGTACAATATATATATATACACACACACCAATTTAAAACATCCACGGACCAAGGGTAGGAAGGATAATAATACAGTGATGATGTATGTGTATATATATACATATATTTACTATGTACACATACAATAAACAGTTTGTCTTTAGATTGATCTTATCAAATCAAATTTGTCAATCATGCTTGCGATTGAATAATCCGCCGACCACTGGCCGACCACCCATCAATGTAGAGACTATCACCTTGCATTCCTGATGGTATTTGTGATGTATTTCTGTTGGACATCAAACATTTTTTGAGGATCTGCAGAGTACAATATATGCATATATCTATTCTATATCGGTTGATGTCAGACGTTTCATTTTGTCATGCTATCAAACAAAGCTCCAGTGTGACTAGCTGACCATGACTGGACCACCAATACATATATATATATATCGCACGAGCAAACATATGTCAATGTCTGGAAATATTACTTGAGCACGTGACCTATGAAAGGGGATGTACATTCTTTGGTGAATATGAATGATTTTTAAGTTTTAGATATACATCTAGAGAAGCAGAGAATGATTACAATGACCAATATGAAAAAAAACAATACAAGAAGTACATCCATCAGCCTTTAAAGTTTAATCTCAATCGCCCATCTTACGAACTTTACCCACCTTGGAAATTCTGGTGGTTTCAGGTGGTGGATTTCTATAACCACCAGAGCTTGTTGGAGAGCACCATTTTTACCTCGGCAAACTACATCGAAATCCTGGCTTTTGTCGCTGGGCCCAGAGGGTTCTGCAAGGGAATGGCTATGGATTTGCTTAGGAGTTTGCAATGCATAGGTGTCAAGGAAAACAACATTTTGTGGAAATTCATTTAATATCTATTCATATATATATATATATGTATATGCATTTATGTATATATGTATATATGCTTATTTGCAGATATGTATATATGTCTATTTGTCTATCTATCTATCTATCTATCTATCTATCTTTCTAACTAATTATTTATCGTTCTATCTATCTTTCCATCCATCTATCTATCTACCTATCTACCTATCTATCTGTCTTATCTTATCTTATCTCATCTTATATTATCTTATCTTATCTATCTTATATATCTAGCAAATTGATCTAATCTTTCTAGCCTATCTAATCGGTCAAATCTATCTAATCTATTGAATCTATCTAATCTATCTAACCTAGCTAAGAAATTTAATCTATCTAATTTATCTCTCTATTCTACCTAATCTATCTATCTATTTGTCTGTCTGTCTGTCTTTCTATCTATCAAATCTAATCGATCTATTCTATGAATGGACCGATCGATCTATCGATCTATCTACCTATCTATTTAACTATCTATCTATCTATCTATCTATCTATCTATCTATCTATCTATCTATCTATCTATCTATCTATCTATCTATCTATCGGTTTATCTAATCTATCTATCTATCTATCTATCTATCTACCTATCTATCTATCTATCTTTCTATCTATCTATCTGTCTATCTATCTATCTATCTAACTGTCTATCTATCTATTTATCTATCTATCTATCTTTCTATCTATCTATCTATCTATCTATTCATTCTATCTTTTCTTTCTATCTATCTATCTATCTGTTTTTCTTTCTATCTATTCATTCTTTGTTTTCGTTATGTATATTCATTATTTCTTTTCGTTCTATCTATTCATTCTAACTGTATTCTATATTTTCATTATTTCTTTCCATTATATCTATTCTTTCTATCTATATTTTCTTTTTTTCTGTTCTATCTATCTACTCAATCTTTCTATTTTTTTATATCTATTATATTTTTCTATTGTATCTATCTATTCTATCTATAGTTTTTATCTGTCTATTCTGTCGATCTATTCTACCTATTTATGTTTCTGTTTGTTCTATCTATCTATTCTACATATTCTATCTATCTATCCATCTATCTATCTATTCTATCTATCTATTCTATCTATTCTATCCATCTATCTATCTATCTAATCTCACCGAATCGAATCTAATCTAATCTATCTAATCTAATCTAATCTAATCTCATCTATTTCAGAATTTATCTCACATGATATATATATATATATGTATTTATATATATATATATTATACAACGATTTATTCATAAACCTATGGTTTCTGATTTGGCACTTTGTTTGTTTTTTACCACTGAGGTGCCTGCGGTTTGGATGGTGCACAGCACTGTGAAGAAGGGCGAGGACATCAACGGTGACATCCATGCGTCAAACGGAATATGTGATGAATAATTCTGATATTGAGGTTTATTCACATTTATTCATAATCTATTCATAATCTATTCATAATTTATTCATAATTTATTCATATTTATTCTGGTTTCTCTAAACCATTGTCCAGATGAGGTTTGCTGCGGGAAGCACGGACTTCAGAAGTCTTGACATCAATGGGCATTCGAAGAAGAGATGTTTAACAGATGATTCCAGGGGTTTTTGCTTCGATATTTGCCGAAAAATTGAAGCCCCACAGGATTGGAGTAGCATCACAGCAGCCAAAGAATCTCAGGCCGATGATCACCTCACTAGACTGGCTGGTAGAGCTTCCACATCACTTTCGACCTGCTAAAGTATATATGTATTATATGACATGATCAGGTATTTGATGGTCTCAAGTCTACAACATTGTACAAACAGATGTTGTGTACCTTTGTTTGGGTTGATGATGCCACATGAGTTTCTTATGTTTTTCGAAGCTGCAAATCCCGCACATGTTTCGGGAGTTGCTCGCAACGAGGCTTCGGCCTTCTTCGCATTCCTGGTGGCCTTCTATGTCATGGAGGACTGGGATCATCATGGAGTTTTCCTAAAATGATGGTACCACAAAATCATCCTTTTAAAATAAATGGTTTAAGTATGATCACTGGGAAAACCAATGGCTTGAGGTACCCAGATTTTAGGACACCTATATAAGATTATATAAGATAGATGTTACATACATTGTGGATAGCCCACGTAAGGGACTGACCAAACAAATTTGTCTTCGAGGTATCTGCCGGTTGTCTGAGCTATGGCAACGGAACCTCCCGGATGCGCCTACTGTAGTATTTTGGCATTTTAAGTGTCCTTTGCCAAGCTATATTACTAGAAGACGAGGTGTGTTACAGGATTGGGGACACCACGCAGGATTTTGGGACCTGCGGGTACTGGTTGTTGAGGCACAAAATTCTGTCATGTCAGGCTCCCTTGATTTCCGATTTTGCTGCAGGTAGCTACTTTCAAGGTCGACAGATTGAAACTGGGTGACCTCATGGCCGGATTTTCAATACTTCTGCATGCTGAAAAAGCATCATCAGTGTCATTGCATTATGTTGTTAGAAATTTTGGATGTCTTAAGTTCAATCGTTAAATATATCAGACCAATTATATACATCAGAGGTATGTGATATACATGATTTACATATTAAATATGTCTTATTCATGTTAAAACTTGTGTTCTCAGATCATGATTCTGTTTTCAATTGGAGGACCTGTTCTCGGCCTATCGCTTGGGTTTCAATGAACCCTTCGGTGCCGTAGGCGCCTGTACGTTTGCGATAAAAAATCGACTCGTGGAGACTCTCATGGCACAGCAAGTTGTGTCTCTTTAAGATTCACTTTTTATGTTGCTGTTATGTGTCTGAAAGTGAAATCCATCAACGTTTTCACTTTTTTCTGAAATCTGGATGTTGGTATAGTTTAAAAGACTCAGCATGTCTTATATCCAAGACAGCAACCCCAAACTGCCGGCCAACGATTGGTTTACACCCGGGATTAAAAAAAGAAACGCATTCGTGGCCCCAAAGAGCGGCAAAGCTAGTTGTGTCTCTTCATATTGGGAGTCTGTCGCAACACCAATGGTATCGATTACAGGATACATCTATCCCCATCAAATCCACAGCACAGAAGTTTTATTTGCAGATGTCCAATTCAATATCTGCCCAACAAAAATCCTCTTGGTATTGGCAGGTTCCCTCCCCCAATCTTATCCAAAGTGTCCCAGTCCCTCATCGGAGGTCATATCGTCCACTTTCTGCTGCTGCTGGATTTCGCCTGCTTCCTCTTGGCTCATATCTACAACCCGGACAAGCTCTCAGGCAGTCTGCTGAGGCACGAATTGGCCATAGTTGGTCTATGCTGATGAGTTGACCGGTAAAATGAGGGATGTAAAACTAATGTGGGATTGTTATCGAATTCGCAAAGCAATGTCTTTGTTGGAATAAATCTTGATCTTTTGATTTCTGCGTGCTTTTAACAACTCATATTTAAGTTTGTTTACCACGATATGTTGGGAATGTTTTAAACAAAAAAACTATGAACAACTGACCAACATGGTTGATTTCGTTGGCGAAAACCTCTTTCTGTGTCCTCAGATTTGAGCCTTGGATATATATATATATGTATATATCTCTATCCACAGTTGCATTCATGACCCAAATTTGGCCAGGTTGAGAGTAATGAAGGTATACCCTCTGGTTGATTTTCCCATTAAACCCTCCATTTATAAGGGATTTTCCATAGCTATGTTAGACAACCAGATGGTACCTCATTTTTCCATTTCCAATTTTTGACATTAGAAACCATATCGGAAAAGCTTGGTTACTGATGGTTACTATTGGGTTCACCACAGTAGGACGGGGAAATTGCATTTTGGCCCTCCCAAACACCACCCTGGGCTGTTGAGATATATCTAATGCCCAGAGATTCAAAGAGTTGGGTCATTTCTGAGTTGTCAACCATCCAAACTTGGGTTTCGGGGTGTTTCCAAGTTTGCCCTTTGGAGTTTTTTCATAGTGAACATATTTGACACAGCGAGGAAGTCGAAGCTGTCTCACTCTTCAAAAGTATCTCTTGGGGGCAATGATCATGCAGCTTTAAGCATGGGTGAATGGGGCAGTAGCTAAGGAAAATGCCTGGAGTAATCCAAGCCTTGCCAAGGGTCTTGAGGGATTGTTGATCACCTTTGCGTGTTGATCACCTTTGCGCGGAAGGTGGTGGGGTCCCACCCAACATTGGGTGTGACTATGCTGTTGATACGTTTCACTCCCCGCTATGGGGGTGGTTGTCGAATGGGATTATGAAGGCTACGCCGCAGCTTAGCAGATTCTGATCTCTTCCACATTGTTGGATATGTCACTGATATGTCTGATTCAGCTGGAAAGCAGAGGACACAGCTGGCTGGGTGCCAGAAGCTAAGCTGCGGCTCTTACTCGAGGGTGGAGTCAAATAACTCCAAGTCCGGTTGCGCGAGGCAATACAGTATATACATATTGAGTTCACGTTTGAACGCTGTGATCAGTGATCACTAGCTCATCCACGGCGAACGCATGCATGGGGCGCACCTTTTTGGTGGCCAAGAACTGATAGTTGTGTAACAGATTGGTTGATTTATTGCACGTATCCAAGTTCCAGCAGAGCTCAGCTAGGATGATACAGCAGAGCCAAGCAGGTCTTGTATAGGTTTTCGAGATGTTCCACGGCCACTGACCAATGTTTGGGTCATGTTCCTGGCAGCCCATCATTCACCCTGTCTATCGCAGGTTTCCTCAGGTGAATTATCATGAATTATCTAGGCCTGGTGGAAATCGTGATCGGCATGTTTACCACAGTCGCATGAGTGGCACATGAGATACAGCCAATTTGCATCATATTGACAAGTCGGTCATCAAGAATCGGAAGTCAGAACCAGGTCGGCTCTGAAGTTGTCCTGCCACAATTGATTTTACTCAGTGAATGTACTATCACAATTGAGCGTTCGAACGCGATGCTCGTTGACAGTGGAGGCCACTCTGAATTCATCGATGCCTGAATCGATGGTTCGCCCCACGAGTGTCCCAAACACGACAGGCTGTTTCACAGATGGGTTGATGTCACACATTCCAGGAGTTTGACAAATTGGATGATGATTAATTTCTTGGATGTGACTTTTTTGAGCCTGAAATTGAATTTGAATTCCTGAATTACTGTATTGAAAACTAGCTGGCATCCAATGAAATGTCCACAGGCCTTTCAGAGATTCAACCCTGACCATGGCAGAAGTTTCAACAAGAACCATATGAGTCCCCATGAGGCAATGGTTGAAAGAGTTGGCGGCATCGGGAGAGCGATGGGGAAACTAAGGAAACAATGTGCAGAGACCATTGTTTTTGGTTAGGCTCAGGCGCCACCGTTCGCCCAAACTCTAAACTGTCCCAACTTACACCTGGTCCCAACTTAATCCGCATTTTCAATGATTACATTGATTGAAGATCTTCAATAAGGGATCAAATCCCCCACCCCCGTTAAACTATTTCACTGATTGAAGATCGTCAATAAGGGATCAAAGTATATCAAAATAGTTCTGTGGAGAAAAGCGAGATTGTGTAAAAAGGGCCTTAAACGAGGATTTGTGAAAGCGAGTTTTCGAAGACCTGTATACAGCACTCATAGCACTCGGACGGCCTTTTAAACGATCACGCCCAATGAGCACTCCGGTGATGATGGCCACTGGAAATCCGCTATAAATTGGCAAAAAAAACATGGGAATGTCAGCTGGAAAACCTGGTGATTTTCCATTGTCATGTTTGATTACCATAGCGTATATAAAATAGATTGAAATAGTAGTATGAAATAGTAGGAGTTCATGTGTTCAGCTTGGATGATTGTCGTTGGCTTGTGATGTGCAGCTTCGAGAAAAATCTCAAGATGACAGATGTGCAACGGCAAATGATGACAGTGCCAGATCGTCCCAAGCACAGGACGTGAGTGCACCATTCCTTTGAATATATATATATATTACTATAAACATATAGTACTATATATATATATTTATATTATTCCTAAATATATATATTATTATAAATATAGAAATATTACTATAAATATATATTACTATAAATATATAGTAATATATATATATATTACTATATATATATATTACTATATATATATTACTATATATATATATATTACTATATATATATATTACAATATATATATATATGTATTACTATATATATATGTATTACTATATATATATATATTACTATGTATATATATATATATTACTATGTCTCTATTTATTACTATATATTTATTTCTATATATATATATGACTATATATATATTTATATTACTATATATATATATTATTACTACTACTATATATTTATTACTATTTATATAGATTATTGTTACTATATATATATATTACTATATATATATTACTATATATCTTACTATATATATATATATCTTACTATATACATATATATATATATTACTATTTATATTACTATGTATATATATTACTATATATATATTACTATTTATATTACTATATATATATATATCTTACTATATATATATATATCTCTTACTATATATATATATTACTATATATATATTACTATATATATATATATATTACTATATATATATTACTATATATATCTATATATTACTATAAATATATATATATCACTATATATTTTTATTACTCTATATATATATATTACTATACATATATATATATGGCTATATATATATATATTACTATATATATATTACTATATATATATATTACTATATATTTATATTACTCTATATATATATTACTATACATATATATATATATATGGCTATATATATATTACTATATATATATTACTATTTATATATATATTACTATTACTATATATATTACTATTTATATTTTACTATATATATATATCACTATATATATATTACTGTATATATATATGTTTGTGGTACTATATATATATTACTATATATATGTATTACTATATATATATTACTATTTATATTTTACTTTATATATATACTACTATTTATATTTTACTATATATATGTTTATATTACAATATATACATATACATATATTACTATGTTTATTTTACTATATATATTAATATTTCTAAATATATATATATATTACTATATATATATTACTATATATATATATTACTATATATATATTGCTATATCTTTATTACTTTATATATTACTATATTTTACTAATATATATATATACATATTTCTAAATATATATTACTATATATATATATATTACTATATCTATATTACTTTACTATATATATTTATATTATTATATATATATATTACTATATATATATATTACCTTTTCTTTTCAACTGAAATACCAAGTAGGAAAGATTCTATGTCCCTAGGATCATCATCTTGGACTCAGTTGTAGACCCATTCTCACGTGCGCTTCTTTCCTATCGAAACGATGTCATTCGCATGCGATGAGACACAACAAAAAACACAAAAAACAGGGAGGATATCATTAACGAAGTTGGAGATTCAGGATACAAGATGATACAAGTATTATCAACAATTCCAAAATCATCCTTTACTCCCTCACATGGCCTGTTATGGTCAGCGCAATGAATGGCTGGAAACCGGCAAACTTGGATAAGATCCAACAGTTGGCGTTCGGAGCCACAGCACACAACCAAGATAACCAAGCCAGTATAAAGACTGGCAATGACGAATATGATGCTAGGAATCCAGATTGCCACGTTCTTTTCCATGTATATTTTCAATGCAAAGTGATGTAATTTAATGATGTACTTTCATCATTTTTGAAGGACGTCCATTTGATATATCGTTGTGTAATCTGACGTGTGGTCTCAAACATGTTGTTCATCCCTAGTGGGAACAAAACAAATCACATGTTCAACCCATTTGGGATTGTTTGAAGCTACAATCCAGTAGTGCCTATGTGTGCAGTTATATTATATACATACATATATATATATATTGGTGTACAAATGTATACTGTATAGTAATAACAATAATACTGTATGTATACTGTATAATACTGTATATATAGTATATGCATACATAGACATATGCAATATACATACACATATACAAATATATACACATGCACATGCACATGCATATATTGATGAATGTATGTGTATATATATATATACAGTTTTTCCAATCCAATTGTACTTATGATGTCATGGGCTCCGAACTGGATCCAAGAGCATCTACCAATCACCATTGCCAAACCGCCCCAGGTCAGCGGCTGGTTACAGCTATGGAGCAGGTTTTGGAGCCGCTTGGAACGTTGTGATTTTTTTCGGTACAGGGGCACACATGTCATGTATGTATGCTAAATTCTACACATACTTCAGGTATCCTCAGGTATGGGATAATTCGGAAAATGGAAGAAACACGCCACTGACAGGTAGAAATTCAGCCGCCAAGTTTGACCCGTACCGAAATTGGCTTGGAACAATATTCCTGGCCACTCCTCCACTCCTGTTTGGATCTGTAGTGTTTGGGGTTCAACATGGTTTAACGATATGTTTGAACATCGTCACTAATGGTTCAACCTGAAACTGATGGCCTTTGCATGTCCGACCTCTAGCTGGAAATCATGTGAGAACTCAATGTGCATCATATCCACACGATTTGATTTTATTGTACTTGTGTCCTCTTTCCGGGCCCGCAACTCAACACCCTGTGATTTTGTAGCGAAATACATTTGAAAAAAAAACACCAACATACACACAGATTACAGTGCAACAGGAGAGACCCCAATTTTTTCCATCCTATGCAGTAGTGTTGGCAGCTGAGGACATTGGTTACAGCCAAGCAGACCTTGTAGAGCGAGCGAACCGTTTGCTTCCCAGTTGGGGAGTTGATATTTCAGATTGTCCCTTCAGAAAAATCCATTGAGGGACAAGGCAGCTTTGGTTAGCTGGCAAAAACATGGCACAGGACAAACTCTTCAAGTTGCATCAGCTATCATCAGCTGTTGCCAATCAAACGGAAATTTGAACCAGAATAAAATGACACGGTTTTGAGCCAATGACACTATTCTGCTATGTATATACAATGTGGTAAACCATGCTAAACCCAACCATCAATCTCCAATTGAGCAGTGTTATACCACCCAAATCACCCAATATGTACTGGGATTTGCAATAATCCAATAGGGGAATCCCTATCAACCTTCAATGATCTGTGGATGGATTGCAGAAACCTTGAGGTGAAGCTCGGGAGAGAGAGCGCGCGGTCAAGGAGCGTCCTGCACGTGGCGACTGTGGGGGGAAGATTTCCTCCATGGATAGGATAGTGTTGATCATATCATGTCAATGATGATATGTATTATATTTATCATTATACCCCATGTTTATGATCTTAACAATGTCACAAGAGTATTTATGATTATGTATATGTATATATATATATATACACGGATAGAAATCTTAGATAGATGGATGGATGAATGGATGGATGGATGCATAGATAGATAGATAGAGATAGAGATAGAGAGAGAGAGAGATAGAGATAGAGATAGAGATAGAGAGAGATAGAGATAGAGATAGATAGATAGATAGAGAGATAGAGATAGATAGAGATAGATAGAGATAGATAGAGATAGATAGAGATAGATAGATAGATAGAGATAGAGATAGAGATAGAGAGAGAGATAGAGATAGAGATAGAGAGAGAGATAGAGATAGAGATATAGATATAGATATAGTTATAGACAGATAGATACAGATATAGACAGATAGATATAGACAGATAGATATAGACAGATAGATATAGACATATAGATATAGATAGATAGAGATATAGATATAGATATAGATAGATAGAAAGATAGATAGATAGACAGATAGATAGATAGATAGACAGACAGATAGATAGATAGGTCGATAGACAGACAGATAGACAGACAGACAGACAGATACTTCCCATATATACTGGTACCAGGGAGTAGCAATATGCAGCACATATAGCTAACCCTGGAGCCAAACATTAGCACCCGGCAAGCGAAGTTCCCTGCAGGAAGCTCTTGAGGCAGAACGGCGGGAAGCACAACGGAGAGCGGAAGCAGAAAGACAACGACAGGAGGCTGCGAGGCACACGGCTGTGAAGGGGAGATACTAATGGCCCCCTTTTGGGGCGGCAGAATGTCCTGGAAGAGGAGCCAGTTGAAGCTGATATGAAGAATCTAGGTAAAACAATTAGGTTCCTTTCATATCAGTGAAGGTGGCATCCGAATTCTGCACGAGGCAAGAGGAGCTGGAGCGGGAAAGGATTCGAAAGGAGCAGGAGGACTGACTTCAGGGATTCGAAAATGCGGGTGCGGATTCTTGAAATTTAAAATTGGGTTCGGCTTTCTCCCTATCATTTCTAGGAATGGAATGGGTTGAGAATGACTATGTTCTTTGAATTCTTGAAGAGGGAAAAGAGCACATGTGACAGAATCCTACAAGAGCATCCGCAATCTTGCCTGGCAGTATGGAAAACCCATCCATTTGCAGTTGCTCTTCATTTTACAGCATTTTACTAGTGCTGTAATTGCATTTCTGTTTGTTCCCTAGAGAATGTGATTTCCCATTGCCAGCCGGCCGTTTCTGTTTCGGAGGAAGAGGAACGTTTGCGCCAGGCCTTTTTTCTGTCGCTGGTGGATGCGCATTTCACAGTTGGATGGTTTTAGGCGTTTCTAACCTTCCATTCTTAAGGTTCGCCAATCACTTATTAGGATTTGCAGGTACCAAGAATAGCTGTTGGTACAAGATCATAAAACTGATGGTATCTCAAGCTGTTGGTTTCTATATCACTTAAGCTGTTGGTTTCTAACCGTTCAGTTCATAAAAATCCCCATGCACCAACTACTTATAGGTTCTCCAGTTGTGTATTCTGTGTCTCCTGATAGGGAGTGACTGAGGTTGGCGGCCAAAGACCATAGTGATGTCATGAATGTCAACCCTGGACTCATCGGAATTCATAACATTTCGGACCCCCAAACACAGGAATTCCGATGAAAATGGGTACCCCTGAGGGGTGTATTAATGCTGGGTTGAGATGACTTGCATATCCTGTCATCAAGACTCGCAGCATGAACTCCCAGTCCTAGAAGTGGATGCCTAAGTAACATCCAGTAGCAAAACGATCTGAAGCCGTTATGTTTGGATAAATACTGGTGATACCTGGTGCACATCCTCGCTTCCCCGGCCATCACAGCCATTTGGGCCTATGCCGAGGGTCGATACGGGAGTCAAATGGAGTCAATACGTCACGTTCGCACCATGATAAACATAATGAATAATGATACATAATGATAATTAATGATATATATATATAATAGTATCCCAAACAAATATAGAAACGCAACATTTTAAGTGATAACTTACCTTTCTATCACAAATGATAGTTGTTCCCTATTATATTATTGCAATCCCAATGATTGATGATAATATATAGATGGTAATTAAACGGTGATGGATGACCATTGTTGGTCATGGATGATGATAGATGTTAGCATATTATTGTAAGATATTATAAGTATAATGGATAATCATAGTATTTCCCATGGTATTTCCATGAATTTCACCATCATTTCACCATCCACCCCTCATCCGCATCCTGGTTGGGGCACTTCCTGTGTCTCAGGCCACGCGCGAAACTCGAGAAACTCGGGAAGCTCGTGAGGATGGAGCCGCCTTGCCATGGTCCTATTCTTGGAAACAGCTACCGACTGGTAACTGTTTAGTGAACTGAGAATGTAACAGATAGATTTAGGGTGATTTTGGACTATTTCATATCCTACTTCTCTACAGATAATTATAGAGAATAAACACCAACATTTTCCACCAGGTTTATTCCTTTCCATTGAAAGGCACTTTGAGATGAGATGAACCTCGTAATTTGTCACAAGTTTTGTTCAACAAATTGGCCATCGCTTCACGCGATAGGCCAGGTCCTCTCAACATGTCCTGCGAGTGTTCTGAGGGGTGGACTCTGCCAGAGTCAGGGATAGTCAGGGGTTACGGTGATGGTGATCAGTAATGATTATGATATATTATGATATATCACCATAATTACCATAATATATAATATGTATATATTATCATAATATATCATGATATATTACCATATGATGATTATGGTGATGGTGGTGATCATGTCGATGCCTGGAGTACCCCATGGCCATGGAACCATGGCCATGGCCACCATGGCCATGGCCTTTTTTTTCAGGACGAGCGAAGTGTGGAGCCAGCCATCGCATCGTACAGCGACGACGACATCGACGACGATTTTGAGGTGTAGTTGATGCTGATTTGGAGATGCTGCTGTTAGAATAGCCCCAAATGGATGAGAGTTGAGGATGGTGTTTCTTAAGCCCTTTACCTCAAATATTCAACACCTAGTTGGGCCGGGGATGAAACCACATATTTGGGACCATTAGGAGGTCTTTAATGTTAAGGGGATGGGATTGCTGTATAGAAACAAATGATACAAATGCGGGTTTCCTCGCTTTCAACCATTTGTTCATATAGTTGTTCATATATGTTCTGTACTGTAGGTTTTTTTTTCCTACAGTAATGGAACGACCATACTTGTTCATGATCATGTTCCTTTCATATTATATAAATAGATTCCAGTAAATTTGGTGTGGCCTATTTTCACACACCCATGTTGAACATGTTGCATGATGCGAACCATAAATGATAGACTACCATGGTCAATATGTGTGCCTATAGTGATAGTGTTGCCCATTTATATAGAATTATAGATATGAATAAGTATATAATATATGCGTCCCATTCTGTCCCAATATGTGGTGTTAGTTACATCCCAATCTTATTGGTTAAATACTCAATACATACATAATATATCATATTATTAATATATATATATACACATATATTAGTTTTTTGTTCATCGTCCCAAACCCGAACATCATCCATGGTCTCAGATGTCATAGCGTATGCAGGTCATTGACTTGGATACCTTGGAAGTGGACGACCTGGTCATCGTTCGGGAGATGAGTTGTGCATACGGGGCAGTGTCCACGTCAGTGTGGCTGATGTTGGTGAAATCCTCAATGGGTCAGTGGATTATGATTGTTATTATAATATTTTTTCTGTACGGATGATAATGTTTAATATCAAACTTAAGGATACAATCTAAAATTAGTTATTTGTTTGATGATTGCATAATATATTCTTCTGTAAGTGGGTACATACACCGCCTTTGAACCCTTTGTTGATGGTCGCATTTCCGTGTCTGTGTAGTTCCAAAACCCTTTGTATGGTTGGCAAACGTTGGCAACAGGGCAATACGTTTCCTGATGTTTGGCCGATTTGGTTCCTGCCATTCCTGTTGACTAGACCGCCATTTTTGATCATTCATGCTCGTGCTATTCCATTTCCAAGTTAATATCACTCATAAGTGTCAACCCTCTCTTGGTGCATGAGAAATTATGGTTTCATGCATGTTTCATGCTAAGCGCAGTCTACCTAACTAGGACTTCATTGCCTCAGAAAGAAAACATCCCAATTTTATCGGTATGGATCCTTTGCGAAAGCTCACCATTGTTGTTGGCACAGGTTGGCACCTCATGCTTGGTTGTTTATACCTGGAACTCACCCGGTTTTGTAGATGTATGAGTCTACCAGCACCATAGATATATACCATATAGGTATGAGTCATGGTCAATGTTTGATCACTCCATCTCTGACCACTGATTCATTCCGCTCAAATGTCCCCAAAGTACTCTTGCTTTGGCTTTGTATAAATGATGTCAACTACTCCACTGATGATGTCTGTTTGAAATTGCCCAAAACATGTGCTACTTGTTAATTCCAGCAGTTAGTTGGAAAAACATAGTTTGGTAATGATTCTAAATGCATTTTTTGTATGGATATGTTTGGCCATTGATAGATTTCAGCTGGTTATTTAACCAGTGAGTGATGTCCCATTTCTGGCCATAGGATTGGATAAATCTCCGGCAATATGACGCCGCCCCAGGAGGACTTCATTAGCGACAGCGATGATGGCGAGGAATTGCTTCGTGGGTTTTGGAGCCTGGGTTTGGGATCACCGCTCTGGCCATTGAGAATGAGATAGACATGATCAATTATGAATGAACAATTAAATGAAGAAACATATGAAGAATTATGATCATAGAATCTCATCCAAGTTTTATATATGTTTTGTTGTTCTATTTTTCCGGATGTGATAGGTAGTTAAGTTGGCCTTGGACAGAGCAGACCGAGGCAACGGGGACAAATTGTGGAGATCGATGTGGATGGGGATGCGTGCGCCAGGGATTTCAAAACCAGGCCTGGCCTAGAATTCTGAACCAAACAACCGGTTGATTTCAGACTAAAGTTTGCGGTTTCACATTGTTCACTTTATCCTTACCTGGTATTATGATCTCCAATTCACCGACAGTTTTTGGCATGAGAAGAAACCCATCCACCTGTATACAGTATATTTTAATATAATAATATAATATAATATATTTTAATATGATATGATGAATAATATGATATAATATAATATAATATAATATATATATATATAGTGTATTAATGTGTATTATATAAATGTATTATACGACATGTACATATGTGTTTTTGTTGAGGTTGTTCTGAATGCATTTCTCAACCGTTAATGCCCCGAGCGATCGAGGTACATACGTTTCAGAGAACACCGCAAGAAGCAATGGGTGCGGCAAGCCTGGAGAGCTGGCATTAAGTTTGATCACCAAATGCTGCACTTATGGAATTTCATTAAAACATTTGCCATCTGAACTATCTGAACTAAAATAAACCCTGCCAATTTCTTGTAGAAAAAATAGTTCCTGCTAAAAATGAACTATTTTCAGCATCAAACTGTTAATTTTATAGAGGGTAATCCAAACATCACCGAGGTTTTGTCCATCAAAAAGATCGGCCAAGAAACGGGCCTTCAAGAACCAACAGTAGTTCCTCGATTAAAACCTTGCTTTGAGCTACCTAAGACCCTCCAAGGGATACCTAGAACAAATCGCAAAAGTCCCAAGTCACAATGGGTATTATACAATTATACATCACATTACCCCATTATAATCCATTATATAGGGTACTTGGGGTGTCTCCAACATAGGGGGACCTCCAAAGGTCTACAGCCAAAACTTCATGTACCTGGCCAAGGTGCGCCTCAGAGTCTAAGCCAATGCATTTTTGCTTCAACAACCTCTGATGGTTCAGGGTTAGAAAAACCAGTTTTATCCATTTTATGTCAGCAAATTTATGTATAATAAATAGATATAAATAGTATATCTCTCTAAGATGGATGGTTTCTGATGGTTGGGTACAGAATCAACCTTTCTGATGCTATCTTTGTCCTGTCCCCTCAAGAATCCACCCCACGCCTCCCATTGCCAGGTTCTCTTTGATAAGGGGGACGCAGTGGTTGCGAGGCAACGTGTTTTTTCACCTGGTTTAGGACCTCAAGCCTGCGGATGTTTAAATCTTACCCAGCCGTTTGAGCCAGGCTCTCCGGGCAATTTTTGGTAGACTCCCTGGTAGAATCCAATGCCATCGCCACTAAAAACCAGTTTTGTTTTGAAACCAGAGACTTTGGGTTTAGGACTAGGACGGTGACAAAGCAGTCTTCACAGATGCCGTGGGATGCCACAGGGGTCTGTTTGATCTTTCCCCAGGCGAAGTTTCGAATGCGGGAGCATGCATGTTCGACGAGGGTGCCGGGGAATGCCACGACACATGGGGGGTGGAAAGATTTGGCAACCCCTTTAGCAAACAAAGAGAACAACAAGGAATCTCAATGGTAACATGTCAAGAACATGTCAATGTGTGAATAGATATGAATAGATACGAAGTCTTACACATTTAATTATGCTAGATGAATTTAGATGATTATATCAATTATATCAGTTTCATATAATTTGTATCATGTTACCAGTAGTACCGCACAAGGCGGTGGCGGAAGTTTCAGAATAGGAAACCTATAGGAGACGTTGGTTGTTGTGAATTACGGATGGCAGAGCGAATCCACTGATTGACCGAAAGGTGGTTGGAGTTGTGTTTGCTGGAATGGTTGCAATGGTTGCAGTGGTCACCTCACCCACAACTGCTGGATGTAGTGTGATGTACTGCAACTGTAGTTGTAGTTGTAGCGTAGTGGAGTTGTAGTTGTGGTGTAATGTAATTAGTGTAGTGTAGTTGCAGTCATATAGTTGTAGATGTAGTTGTTTTGTAGTTGTAGTTGTAGTTGTAGTTGTTGTTGTAGTTGTAGCTGTAGGTGTTGTGTGGTTGTAGTTGTTGTGTATAGTAGTAGTAGTAGTAGTAGTAGTAGTAGTAGTAGTAGTAGTAGTAGTAGTAGTAGTAGTAGTAGTAGTAGTAGTAGTAGTAGTAGTGTAGTAGTAGGAGGAGTAGTAGTAGTAGTA